GAAACTGAGTTTAATGGCTGGATGACATTTTACACTGATGTCTCAAAGTTGATTGATGGTGAAGATGTGGGTGCTGCTGTCTGGTTACCTAGGTACAAAATTATATTGAACTTTAAATGCCCTCCTCAATGTTCTGTTTTTAGTGGAGAGGCAATAGCTTTTTAGAAGCTGTATCTTATATTGAATCTCATCAACTAAATAGATCTATAATTTTCTCTGATTCATATAGTTGCTTACAAGATATCTTGAAGCTCCCATTTCACTCTAAAGATAACTTTTTCTTAACACTAAAAATTAAGCAAGCATTATATAAATGCTACTGTGCTGGTCTACAAGTAGTTTTAGCATGGATTCCAAGTCACTGCGGCATTCTTGGAAATGAAAAAGCAGATTGCTGTGCCAAAGAAGCAATTCAGCTTGGAATCACTAAGTATAATAAATGTTTTGTGCGTGATCTGCGTCTCTCTGCCAAACATAATATGTTAAGGGTTTGGGGTGACATGTGGCGGGCGATTGGACGTGAAAGGTGTAAATATTACAGTCTAATTCAACCTTTTATACCTACCAAACCTTGGTTCTTTAGATATAGATGCTATCACAAAAAGACTACATCTATTATCATCAGGCTCAGACTAGGCCATGTATGTTCACCGGTGTTTCTGGCTAAACTGCATATTCGAAATACGTCTTTGTGTGAATGCGGGTTAGATGAGGGTACTCTTGATCATTTATTCTTTAGTTGTCCTATGTTATCAGTCCCTCTATATGATTTACTCCCACCCACTATTGTGCGTCCTGTGAATGTTAGATGTTTGTTAACTCTTGTCTATGCCCCATTCATTTAAACTATAGTTAGATTCATAGAAATTAACAATATAAGCCATTAAGCTGGTTTATAAGATTTTTGTTTTTCGCCTTTTTTTGTTCCTGTTCCTTTTTTTGTTCCTTTTTCTTTCTCTTTATTTATGTATGGCTGATGTCCCATGACTAATGACCATATTACTAATTACTAATAAGGTGTTTTGTTCCTCTCTTTACAGGTATGCAACTGAAAGTGGTTTAATACAGTAGGTTATTATTGTCATGTCCTTAGCCTAATCGATCTCCAAGTACCAAGTTGTTGGTAAAATCACTGACGTATCAGTGGAGCCATAGGAGGGAAAAAAAAAATATTTTTAACGCATTGGGATTGCTCCCACGGAACTTTGGATTTTTCTTCCTAAAGGAGAATGGAAATTTGTCTAGAGATAAATACAAAATAAAACATCTTTGTTTTAGTTTTGATTTAAGATTTTAGTGGGTTTTTGTATTGCTATAGGAGTATTTTATTTGAACAGGTGGAAACACTGATTTATCCAAACAGCAAGCAGTAACATACTGAAACATTGACTTTACAGTTACACAAATTGTCACATATGACGATATAACGGGCTGATTTTGATACTATTATTATGTTTCAATTATTTCCAGACTCGTGTCTCAGACGACAACAGCTGTTGGCTGACGAATCAAGAGACAAGAAAGACAATTTCAGTAATAACATTTTAATTTAATTAACAGAAACAGTTTTTTATTTTATTTTGGGTCCGCATTTAAGGCCAATACCAAATATCCCCTCACTAACGTCACTACATAGTACGAGTATAAAAAAGTCGTCCCGCTGTCTGTCTGTCCTTAAGTATGTTTAGATCTTTAACTACGCAACGGATCTTGATGCGGTTTCTTTTTACTAGAGAGAAAGCTTCGACAAGAAGGTTTATATGTATAATACATTACACCCGTGCGAAACTAGGACAGGTCGCTAGTTGGATTTAAATACGGATTCGATACTTACCTAAAATTAATAAAAAATATTTAGTCGAAACCTCGGTTCCTACCCTGTATATTTTATCGATATCGATAAAAAGCTATTTGTTATGCACTATTAGGCTTGTTAGGCTTGTTGTACTCCTGTTGTTTGACATCTTTGTGGTATCTGTTGGTATTGGAATGCCACTTTTTCGGTATTAATTTTGGCTATTATGTATGGACGTCCCGTCTCATAGACGTATTGATTTCATACATTCTTTGATTATCGATAGGGATAACGAAAGTCAAGAAATATATCGATAAATCAATATTTCTAAAAATATCAATATCATATAATGAAATAATGTATGTAGTTCAGTCTGATTCCATAATAAGTAATAGTAATTTTTATATCAAATTCACGTTATTTGAATGAATGAGAAATTTTAGTAAAGCTTTAATTATTATAATTTAACTCAAATTTCTTTTATTAATCTAAATTTCAGGTATATTATTGATAAGACCTTCATTGTACAGATATAACATATAAATTTAGTAAGATCCGTTTCTTTAGCCCTAAATCGAATCAAAAAACTAAAAAAACATACTTAAGGAATTTTTTAAAACAGATTCAATAACGGGTCAAAAAGAAACCCTCGGAGACTTGTCCTAAAAGACAGGCCTTATTCAGCAGAATTTAGTAATAGTTGTTTAATTTAGTTACTTATGTGGTTAAATGATAATCATTTATAAATTATTATTATTAAACCACTTTCTCTTTAAACACTAAACTAAAGTAACTTCAGTTGACCACAATTAATATTTTGCATGCTATTTATAAATTAGCTTAAAATGTAGATAGTATAAAGTACGAAGCATGAAATTTATATATATATATAATTTTTCTGTACGTGTGTATGTCACTGAACTGCTCCAAAACGGCTGGACCGATTTTAATGAATTTTTTTGTGTTTTCAGGTCTATTCGAGAATGGTTTAGATTCGTTTTTTTTATAATTTGTTCTCGAATTTAAATCGCGTGTTCAGGACACCGTCTGTTGGGTTCGCTAGTTGTAAATACCATAATTATAGTACAAAATAAAACACTGCATCCTCGACAATACTAATCATAGACAAGATTTTTTTATCTTTTCTGGCGTATTCACGCCACAAAAGATCAAAATAGAGGAAAAAAAAATTATAAATGATAACCAAAAATATCGATATATTTTTCAAAAAATATCGATATATCGTTATTTTTTCAGCATTCCTAGCGAATCGACCAAAAAAAAATTCTGGGATGAATGAAGGTAAACTGAAACAAATAACATTTGATAATTTTGCTAGTTATTCATAATAATTTAAAAATACGTGACAAAAATAACGTGAAAAAACGGATATATCAGGCAGTTTATTCGATAAACATTTGGTATGTGTAATATTTTCTCTTTATTAAATGTTGAAGTAATAATTTGCGAGTTTTATTCAAAAATGTCAAAATGATGTGTAATCAAATCCCTATTTTTTACCCTGATTCCCGTTTACTTGGTTGTGAAAACGTGTGTGATATATTTGAGCGAAAAGTAAATACTTACGGCACTTAGGAAAAAAAAGTTTAGAAATATTAGCACAAAAGTAAAACTGCTGGTTTAACAAAGTAAAAAAGGTCTGGTTTCGTTATAGTTTTACCTTTGCCGGCTTATGAAAAAGGAAAAGCCAATTTTTTTACAAATGAAATGTAATTAAATAAAATGTTCTTGCAAAGGAAACACGAACTAGTAGATGAGATGTTTTTATGTTTCTTGAAACAAGTTCCAATTCAAGTTTTAGTATTACATCGAAAAATGCCATATTATTCCTAGTGCACTCAATTTATTTATGTTATTATTTCAGATGTTTGTATTGGAGAACCCATATTTAAAATTCATTTAAATAACATAGTACAAGAGAATCAGGAATTGGGAATGCTCATTCATTAAAAATGATAATAGAATTTACAATATGTAGTAATTTATGATAAAAAATGGATAAACACTTATCAATTATTGATGAAGTCTCAATTCAATCAGCTGAAAAAAACCCAAGTAAATTATTAAATGGTGGCTTAAATAAATTAATGAATAAAAATCTTTGTGAATTATTAGAACATACAGACACAATAAAACCAAGGAATGAAGATTTGAGTAAATCTGCAAATCAAGGCTATATTAAATTAATTAATGATAATCTAAATAAATTGTACTTAGGAGACTCAGAGGATAAAATGGAAAAACTATCACAGTAAGTTAATATTTTTCTTAACTACTATTTCAATTTATCAAAATTTTAACTAATATTGTCTAGAAAAGAATATTAATGTTGAAATATTTTTTTTTTACAAATCCATTATAATTATGTCATACATTTACTTAAATCTGGATATGTCTTTAATTCAGGATATAAATTAAATGCTTACCATCCCCTCACATTGCAGCTGATTTTCCAACCCTTATGAGGGTCTCTAGTTACCTTACTCACCAGTTGATGTGCAAAAAAATAAATACTTCTATTTTACATTTAATTTTTAGTAGGGCCATAGTACTTCCTCAATGGCTCATACAACATCTGAAACTGCTGTGACTGTTATAATATATAGAGCTTTGGTTTTAACTTTTCTGTTAAGTTATGAACCAGTAACTCTATTTGCCCTGTTAATCAGTTCCTTGTGTACAAGAAGGGTAATAGTCTTTTTTTTATGTGAGGAGGTACAGGCGAGCTGGCAGCTGGCATATGTTAAGTGATAACCGGTGCCCATTGAAATTTGCGACAAACATGTCAAATAAATTAATTCAGAATTATTGCAACATTATATTGCTTTTGTATAGCAAGAAATTAAACATGAGAATATGAATAAAACATTTCAGTGATCAACACAATCAAGATAATTTGATTATGGATTGTACTGCAACAAATCATAGTTCACTTATAGAGAAGGACAATTTGGTGTCAAATGAATTTAAAATAAAATTGTTAACTACAACTTTGAATTTCATTAAAGATAATGATCAGTATATTCTGGAATACCCTGAAATTCCTTTAGCAGAGACTGAGTTCATTGAGTCTCTTATTACACATAATTATAATTCAAAGTTGTGTTCAAAACTTAGGCCATTGTATGCATCTATAAAAGAAGCAATTATAATATTTAAACTTAAATATGAATTTAATTTGCAAATGATTAAAAACGAAAAATCTGTGTAAGTTTTTAAAAAGTTATGTTTTACTTGTTTGAAGCTTTAAATTGCATGTTACTTTGCATGTTGATGCATGATATCAATAATGGATAGACAATTTATGCTTACATCAATTTTTACATAATTTGACAAAGTGACTAAAATAACTTTGAATAGATGAAGGGTGATTTTGTCATATCTGCTTTACAGCATTTGTGGAAATTTGTGGAATATTAAGAGTCCCCAGACAGATAAACCAATGGACATGTCACCCAACACAACTTGTGTGTGGGGCATGTTGCTCAACTCTTGCCTGGAAAACTTTTTTTTATGTGAAAAATTGCCAAGCGAGCCAAGTGAGCGGTTCACCTGATGTTAAGTGAATACCGTCGCCCATGGACATCTGCTACACCCGAGGGTTGAAGATGCGTTGATCACCTTTTGAAAATTGGGCTCCGGCCTCCTGACTCACGCGAAACGCGAAAGTATTATATTTCCACTTTACGTCGGTCTTCTGTGACGTCGTGTTACTTACCCGGACGAGCCTGCCCATTTGTGCAACAGCCGAGACTACTGCTTGGACCTACCACGGTTCATGTATATAAGTATGCTACAACTTGTGTAATTTATTTCGTGGATATTAAGTATGATTATAAGAAGCCATTTCAAGCAAAAAATAAATAATTTACAGGATTATTTAACAAGATTCTTTTCTTTCTTGGGTTTTTGTCGTTCTTTGAATCGCTTTTAATATTTGAGTTTTTGTTGTATATATTTTCAAAGCTTTTAATCATTTCCTATGTAGCTAAAACTAATCAGTGTAGTTTTATCTCTTATTAAGGTTCCATTCAGCTGCAGTTCTGCTAATTTCCACGTGTTTGTTTAAGGCACTTCATTTTTTAACAAAATCTATACATTTTATAGCAGCAAAAAAAAAATGTTTATCTTGATCTTACAATCTAATGGAACATTGTTTTCAAAACGATCCATAGAAAAAATCATGAAATCATCTTTAGAAGTGAAATTCAAATCCAAAAATATGCATAATAAATCAAAAATTTAATGAAATTAATACCAGTTAATTTGTTGATTGCAAGTAAGATATTTATAAACAATAATTTAATTTATTAAAATTAACTCGAATGCGACGACCAAAACACAGTGCCACCGTGGCGTTGTTTCGGTTCTCTTCTATTTCCACACGTTGAACAGAGAGCGCTGAGGCGCGTTGCTAGATGGATCTGTGCCGCTCATCTTCCGCTCACCGTTACGAAATATGTTCCGTATTTATTTATTATTGAGAGTTATAATTCAATTAGATCGTATTTATAAAAAACTAGCGACCCGCCCCGGCTTCGCACGGGTGCAAAAGTATTATACATATATGAACCTTCCTCTCGACCACTTGTTATCCTACATTATTACGTGTTAACTAATAAGTACCTGGAGGGCCGGTGTTTTTTGGTAAATCATGTATTTTGGAAATAAAAGAAATAAAAAATAAGGAAAATGATATGGTATAGAAAAAAAGTAAAAAAAAATAAGTGTGTAAATGATCGTGACACGAACCGCGGCCGTCTGTTTTGGGGCCGCTCGATTACCGACCGAGCTATTATAAAATTTTTTTTTTGCGGCGAAATTTACCGTCATATTCGAATGATATTTTTCAACAGGGATAAAAGGACATTTTCTAAAAATGAAACCTAGCTAGATCGATTTTTCGCACCCGAATCTACGCACATACTAAATTTCATGGAAATCGCTGGAGCCAAGCTCGTTTAAAGGATAAGATTAAAATCTCTTAGTGCACGTGATTGTCTTCTTGCATAAAATATGATTAATTTTAAGAGATTTTGTTTGCGAATCATGCATGTCTTTATCTATGACTAACACATAATTTTTTTATAATATAAGTTGGGCGTATTTGCAAATGTAAATCAAATGTATAGATATTATTACAAAAATAATTTTACTACACTCTTACATTTATATTACAGGCAGCTGATATTTAAAAAAATCGCCAAGAACCACTTTAAGACAAGCAAAAAGTAAGTAAACTCCAATGGGTGACAAAAAGGGATGAGACTTTTTCTGTAAATTTGAATTTTAATTCACAAATAAACTAAGCCTACAATTTTACTGTGCAGACAAAATACCAACAAGGAATCACTGCATTCAAGATGCGTTAAGATAAAAACCACACGTAAAGAAACAAAACTAATCGATGAACTGCCAATTCATTTCGTACTGGACAGCTTGAAAAAAATTTCAGATTTTTTAAAAGACGAATTAAGTGTCAGCATTGTATTTAAAAATATGAATACGAAGGAATGGATGTTTCTGAAGAATGTGAAGTCACTATTGAAAAACAGGTTTGATTTGTTAAACGATCTCCCTGCACCAGCTAACGAATTATTGGAACAAATCGATACATATAAAGAGCATGACTTTACTTTGACTCTGAATGTGAATAGATTAAATAAAAGCAAAAAAGAAAGGTGAGTTTGAAATAGAATTCAGTTATTTTTTACTATGTGTGTGAGCGTGCGTGTGTGCACACATGCACGAAAATTTTATGTTAACTATTTCATTAATAATTTCTCAATGTTTGCACTATTTTACAGGAACGTTACCCTGATGAAAAGTCCAAAATTTAGTAACCGACACTTTTGCGCCGATAACTTATGGTGAGCTTTCTCTCTTAATTTCGCAGTAACTAATTACGCAACGAGGGCAAATTGTTTTAGGGGAATGATGGATGTTGCAAAGGAGCCAGCGGTCCCCTAATGTTAAGTGATACTCGTCGGCCATGAACGTCTACCTATCTTACTCACGAGGCGAAACGCAAAAGCATAATACTTCCAATTCACGCTAGTCTTCTGTGCGTACGAGGCACCTAAGTAGGTGTACATACCCTCTGCATTTTGTGCAATAAACCGAGCTAATCTCCCTCTCTTAAACTGCGCTCTTCTCAGTATATCGAATGAAACACGTCCACTCAAAACAGTGTCGAGTTCAGCATCCGTGTTTTTATGAGATTATCACTATATAGTATAAAACAAAGTCGTCCCGCTGTCTGTCTGTCCCTATATATGCTTAGGTCTTTAAAACTACCCAACGGATTTTGATGCGGTTTTAATAGATAGAGTGATTCGAGTTTATATGTATAATACATTACACCCGTGCGAAGCTAGGGCGAGTCGCTAGTTACCACTACAATAAATAGTTACAACCATTTCATGAAGTTTTTTTTAAAGAGATATTTTATCTCCTATAACTGACCGGCAAGTCAATCTATACAGCATGTCTTTACAACCGCGACAATAAATGAACACACATATAGAGGACAACTTTTTTAAATTTTAAGCATTTACATTCTCTAAACATCAATATTTACCGAGTTATTAAATTTTACCAAACAAACATTTTTAGAATACCCTACGAATGAATTTAAAAGAGATAAAACATACTGTTAGAAGGAGAGACATGTAATGCGACGTTATGGCAACGAATGAAGACGTCTCTGAATGTATGAATCAGTCAGTTGTAGTTGTACAGGCTGTTACAAATTTTGTTACTTTTTTAATTAATTTTTTTAAAAAAATAGTTTTTTTTAAAAAAATATTTTTTTTAATTATGGATTTTTTTAACATTAATATTTTTATGAGTATTGTCAAGTAGCGTTAGACGTGTGTTAATTTATTTCGCGGTTGTAACGCTGTATATAAGAGATTTCCACCGATAATTGACTCATCACGATATCTCTGGAACCATAAGGCGTAGAGACTTAAAGTTTGGTTGGAACGTTTCGGATTTTACGAAATTCCACAAAATAACGTTTGCCGGATCAGCTAGTAAGATATAAGCTGGTAGAATTAAACATTCAGCGATATTGTATGACTTTGCCGAACTTTGCTACTTCGTACGCCTAAGATGCACGGCGCCTTGGTATTGAGATTCTTTGTATGTAAATCCAAATTTCAAATAGTTATATCAACGTTATATATTCTTTTTTTCCTGATGGTGTTTTGATTTTTTCTGGTTATCTCGTTCCGTTATATATAGACATACTATATGTCTATACTTTGGGGCATTTATTATTATTTCATTACGTTTCGTTTTAACTTTAACTGTGATTATTATATTCTGTACATATTTTTTTCTATTGTTAATTTCTTGTGCATACTTTTGGTAATTTTTAATAAAAAAAACTCAACTTCAGCACTGATCGCAACGTCGCGTACCCGTCTTGGGATCAAAATGAAGAGTCGAGTTCTGACAATAGCAGTCCGAGGAATAAACTATTAAGCGCGCTTAACAGTACGCCGAATGACGAAGAATTAATCAGGTGAGGTATATAGGTTCTATCATTATAGAATAGTAGTATACTCTCATTGACTTATGGCCCAAGAGATCATGTGAACAATATAAATATACTTGGTTTAAAGAGCTGCTTGGTTTATATACCCCTAACTATTGATAATTCAACGGTGAATGGTGTATGTAAAATAAATCAATTCTTGATATTTTCCGTCCGATAGGTACGCCAGCAATGCTGGACGAAGAGAAGGCCGAATGCCTGGCTGACAGCCAAAAGTCTCAATGCTCTCCCAGTCTGCTTCCGATCGACCCCGAACACCTCCGCAAGGTGAACGAAGAGGTAGAAAGGAAAGCCTTAGAGCCACTTCGCGATCCCGTTCCCCCGGCCACGTGCTCCGAACTAGCAGACACCATTAATAAACAACGCCCGCGTAAAGCACCAGGCTCAGATGGTATCACCAATAAGGTGACCAAACTCCTCCCTACTAGCATCCTTCAGATACTAGTATTAATTTACAACGCGGCCTTAACCGAAGGCTTCTTCCCATCCGAGTGGAAGGAAGCCGATGTCATAGGGTTCCTCAAACCCTCTAAACCCGCCACTCTCCCAACCTCATATCGTCCAATAAGTCTTCTCAAAACATTTGGGAAGATCTTTGAAAGACTAATATTAGCCCGCTTAAGATCCCTTATGGACACCAAAGGGCTCCCCATCCCAGAGCAGTTTGGATTCAGAGCCAAACACTCATGTACCCACCAAGTGCACCGCATCACGGAGCACATTTTAACTAAACGCCAACGTGGACTCAACACTGGTGCACTCTTCCTGGACGTGGCAAAAGCGTTCGACAAAGTCTGGCACAACGGGCTCGTCTACAAGCTATACGGGTACGGAGTGTCCGACCGTCTCGTATGCATAATACGAGACTTCCTAAGTAATCGAACCTTTCGCTATCGCATCGAGGGCGTGTGTTCGACTACGCATCCCGTTCGAGCCGGAGTGCCCCAAGGGTCGGTGTTGGGCCCAGTCTTGTTCACTCTCTACACCAATGACATGCCGCGTGTCAAAGATGTAGAACTTGCTCTTTTTGCCGACGACACCTGTATCTATACCACAGGCAGAACACCCGAATTGATCCATCGACGCCTCCAAGCTGCGGCCATCACCATCGGTGACTGGTTTCGGTAATGGAGGATCGAGATCAATCCCGCCAAAAGCGCGGCCGTCCTTTTCGCGCACAAAAAGAACATACCCATTCCACCCCCCGTTAAACTCTTGGACAGCCCAGTACCATGGGTTAATAAAGTCAAATATCTAGGCGTCGTCCTCGATTCCCAGCTTAAATTCACCCAGCACGTGACCCAGGTCAGGAACCGGGCGGCCTTCGTAGTCAGTCGCCTCTACCCGCTCCTCAATAAAACGTCAAAAATGTCCCTTCGGAACAAGGTGACCTTATTTAAGGCAGTAGTTCGCCCCATCATGACATGACGACGAACCCCGTCTTCGCTCACATTGCTCCGAAGCAAATACACCGGCTTCAGGTTCTTCAAATCGATTCTTGCGCAGAGCCACGGGAGCATCCTGGTTCATGCGCAATATCGACCTACATGTCGATCTAGAGTTGCCCACCATCGCGCAATTTCTGAAGTCGGCGTCGCGCCGATATTTCGATTCCGCCGCCGCGCATCCCAACCCACTTATCGTAGGTGCCGTCACCTACAGGCCCTTGCCGCTAAATATTTTCCGCCGCGATTACCGAAGACCGCGACACGTTCTCGACTTCCCTGACGATGAGACGACAATCGCCATCGAAAGGATCAAAAAACTTAAGAAACACACCAACACACACCGCACTCGCCGGCGAGTGCGGCAAACATATACTAGGTTCCGCCACGTACCTGGCAGGTTTTCCCCTATTAATGATAGAAGCGTTGCTGGAGTTTCTTCCGCCACTTCTTCGGAAGTGGTAGTAATGTTAGCTCTAGTAATTCCCCCAGTCAGATAATAGCTACCGATCGAGCCGAGGTCCGGCCCTCTTGGGCACCCTCGAATCGGAATGCTAAACGCGTGCTGAGTGACAGCCCAAGCCGAGGTCCCCTCTCGGGGACCCTTGAGCCTGATCACTCCATGGAGCGACTGCCAAAGCGCCCTAAGAGCTTTGCGGCCTCCCAAACCGGTAATAATAATAGCGTGACGGCCCGAGCCGAGGCTCCCCCGGGAGCCCTCGAGCTTAGTCACCGTAACGCGTAATAATAGTACGCCGATGTTCAGGCTAGCCGCCTCGTGCGCCAGGCCACCTCAAGTCCGTCGGAACTGTAAAGGCCCTTAAGGCAAAAAAAAAAATCATGACACTTCGCTATTGTGTCGCGCGAAAATGCTAAATCTTGACAAATGTATAATTTAAATCAATGAGCACTTGATTAATATAGTGAAGAGATGAAAAAGTTCCACCGTCCTGTGAATAATGTCAATTTCATGTCAAACAATTTTCCAGTTGTTCATTAGCGGATAGACCGACATTGAACAGTTCCATAGACAGCCTCACAGTGTCAGTATCAAGCGACAAAAGTCGCCAAGTCAGCTTGGAGCGACGGTAAGGGATTTGATCATTGTATTAATTATTAAGTAAAAACCTATCCATTCCAGCCTTCACGGTCCCTTTCACGCTGGTGATCACTACATACTATAAAACAAAGTCGTCCCGCTATCTGTCTGTCCCTATGTATGCTTAGATCTTTAAAACTACGCAACGGATCTTGATGCGGTTTTTTTAATAGGTGGAGTGATTCAAGAGGAAGGTTTAAATGTATAATACATTGCACCCGTGCGAAGCCGGAGCGTAGTAGTAGTATTTAATCAATGCTACAATATTTCCAAAGTTGACGCCAGTTTACAAATAGCCAACAACACGCTTGTTTTAAAATCGCTTCAAAATAATATCAATAGCTATCGTTTTTGACTTATTCCAGACCTATTAGTGCACAGAAGTCGAATATAAAGTTCCAAAGCGGCGACAGCTTCGACTCTCAACACGTGGAAACGGCCGTTGGCGAAAAGAAACCGGAGCAGACCCAAAATCGGGGCAGAATCCGCGAGAGGATGCTGGGCTCAAGGAAGACTAAACTCCTCGAAGCGATGTCGGTGCCCATAGAGAGCGAGAAAGGATTAAGGTGCATCAATTACGCACATGTATTCTTTTATGTTCTTAGCTCTGTCTACAGTTTAACGTAATGCGGGTGGTCCTTTGCATCACGAATGTTTTTTCTTCACCAGCGATTCTATCGGTGGCGGTACAAATATTTGAACTCTGTTTGTATATACGGAACTTTAAGCGAGCACATCGTAACTGAGGTAACAAGATTATTGCACCTGGAACACCCCTTATAAATTAACCCCTTAGTCTCTGATTAAGTAATGTTTGTTACAACTAGTATTTTTTTTTAATATTTTTAGTTATTTCTTAATAGCTTTCTTTTAACAGCATAATGCTACGGATGGGTTGGAAAGGTGGTGCTCTGGGCACAAGGGGCGAAGGCATTACAGAACCCATTATACCCGATCTCGATATCGTAAGTTATTTTGGATTAGACTAGTGTCTATTTTCTCTAAAGAATGAAGCAAACAACTTAGACCTACAATGTATGCTATTTAACTAGTTAACGCACTACGTTAACACTAGAGGGCGACCCTTTAAAATTAATGATCCCGGAAGAGGTCAAAGATATAATTACTGTATTGAAATCCCGTTTCGCTAAAGGCCAAGATCTAATCAGTTACAGAGTTCTAAAAACATACTCCGTTCACTCTTATTTGGGCTAGTATTTTCAACGTGCTTCTCTCTAGCTGCTCCTTCACGGACATCTGAAAAAAATCCATAGCTTAGCAATAAACTTACAAAGTTTATATAAAGTAAACAAAATCGGCCAAGTGCGAGTCGGACTCGCGCCGGACGAATTCCGTAGGTACTTATTAAGCACGATATATAATGTAACCTCTGGCCCGAGGAATCTTTATCAGTCTACGAACTGGAAGCGCAAACATCTATCGCGATAACCTTATATTGCGAGTGGGCTTCCCCAGCTGCCAACCAATATTAAAACAAAATTAAGTAACATTTTATGTTTGTATATCCCGCAACCCTTCTGCTGTAATAATATTGGTCTACACGCGAATTGTCGGATACATTTTTTGATATCTTATTATATCATTTCTCAGACATTGAGTTTCGTCACTGCCTGTTATTTAATTATTTTTAAATCTCAGTGGTAGGCTTTTGTAATCAGCTTCCTCCTATATATATATACTTTAGTGCAATAACAGAAGCTATCTCTTAGACCTATCACAGTAAAAAATCTACAGTGCCAAAAATACATAGTTATGCCAACGTTATTTTGTGGTTATCGACGGTTGTGCGATCTCAGTCGGAAAAAAGGAAAAATCCTTACTAATATTATAAACGCGAAAGTTTTTATGTATGTATGGATGTTTGTTACTCTGTCACGCAAATACTACCGAATGGTTTTTAATGAAACTTTACAATAATATAGCTTATACATCAGAATAAGACATAGGCTGTAATTTATATCCATATTTTATTTATATCTGTCTTTCTGTCTGAATGTTACGCCTTCAGCCTATTCTACACAGACGTAGTCACGGACAGCAGCTAGTATATATATATAAATAAATAAAAAATCTCGCTTGCTAGTTGCTTCACTCTATAATATTAGAGAACTGCTGTAAATTTAGCTTATCCCCTAGTAATACATTTCTGTGGTTTCCGTACAGACCAATTCCAACTTCTGTTATAGTAGTTGTATCTCCGTTTCTCCCTCATCATCATTATTGTCCTCTCAAAATCTATTCACGTCGAATATAATATATGAAAGAACTGACTTACCTTATGACTTATTTTGTTTAATATACTCTCTCTTCGTCCCCAAAGCTGTATGTAATTTTATTTTTTTTAGGTAAGTGGTGCAGGCTTAGGACACACTAAGTCATTGCGATATCGCTACGAAATGTTTAAGAAGAATTTAGGAACAAATTCTGCTGAAAGTTTGCAGAGTATTGTAAGTCAATATAAACATTCTTGCCTTGTTTTATTAGATGTCGTAACGTAAAAGTAAATTGATTTTACTTTTTAAATAAAAATCGATATATCATATTATCAATATTACCATTGTTATCTTACGGATAGAACTAACAAACGATGGACGAATGTTTAATAATCATATGCCAGTAGATGCAATTTAATTGCATTTCTATTTTTGAATGTTCAATAATATTTGATAGAAAAATAGTATTTTTACGGTTTTACGATTTTTTATAAAATACGCATTATCGAATATAAATACCAGAATACAGATAAAATGACAGTGGATGTCAAGTGAAGTCTTAAAAAAGAAAAACTTTAAATTATTTATTTAACTATTAGCACTAAAAAGTTTACAATAATACTAAATCTAATATAATCAATTCTTGAAAATGCAACCTATATAACCTACCCTACCTAACCTCTAACAAAATTTAACAATTTTTGGAGTCAGTGCCAAGCCAAGTATCTCTGATCTGAACATAAAATCATTCTCTTAACTTTCTTACACAATTGAGGTGGATTAAATACATATAACTATCTTTTAACCTTTATTTATTAGAGAACTGCAGTATTAATTTTTCTAGCAAGATGATATGATATACAACCATTATCCAAGGTGAGCAATGGCACCGAAGCATGTGTGGACGGTTACACTGCAGACATTATAACTGAGAACGCGAAAACATCGTTTTAATTGTGTAAATACGCTGTTTTCACGTTCTCAGCTGTACTGAATAAATCTGCTTCACCTTTTAGAGTATACTGACTGATGACATGATGATGTTATGTTGTATGATTGCCTAAAAGAATGCATATTTATGCGGTAGCAGTTGTTTTGCTGTAATTTTTTTAAGAGTTCCGTTGTCTATATTCGATACTCATCATCAGATTTATCTGAAATTAAAGTGGGACCATTTCGGAATAAAAAAAGAATTTTGCAAATCCGTCTATATATGACGGATGATGAGTTATGACCGAAAATATTTAAATAAAAACATATTAACAAAACATGATAACATTAACGACGGTTAAAAATGAGTTACTTTGACCGTTAGTATGTATTTTTTTTTATGTGAATGCTTATTTCTGTTTTAGGCAAGCGATTCGGATGGTAAACCTAAAAAGAAAATGAAGAAAGTCGTTGCAAATCGTTTGAAAATATTAGAAGAAATCTTAGATTTGATTGTATCCAGTGAAGCAAAAAAAATTATATATTTCGACAAACAACTGCAGAAAAAAGAAAAAAAGTTTCTTAAACATGCTATACACAGTTTTAACGCGAAATCAAACATCACCTTACATGATAAATTAGAGCAAGAGATGGTGCAAAAAATACTAGACGCCATGACGTGCAATCGAGGAGTTACTCTGGACGCGAAAGTGTCAGCAAATATAATGTAAGCTCTTTTTGATAATTATTAAGCTTCAAAAATTAAACAAAAACCTATGAAATTAATTTTACTTTCGCAGGGAAATTGAATTATCAAAGACAACCAAGAACGTAAATGTACTAGTACCTATTATTAACATGCAAACAAATCGATGTAACAAAGATTTAAATGAGAACTATCCAGAGGCACCCACTCTAAATGTGGAATACGGCACAGATACGAAAGTTTTGTCACTTAGCGAATTTATGTCTTCTATGAATCCTATGGAAACATATGGAGTGTATGCGAAAAAATCGTTTAGGACGTTTGCTTTCAAACTTATGGTGTTTGAAGAAATATTGGCGTTTTTACAGAGCCAAGATTTGGAAAGAAAATTTGGCATTGATGGTGGTAGTGTATTTAAGAGAGATTTGTCTTTATTTAAGAAATACATTGATAATGTTAATGCGAGGTGTAAAGAAAAATTTGTCCCGGCAATTGAACAATCAATAACTGAACGGATATTGGATAAACTGGGTACCTGTCGCTTATCATATGATTATGATAAAAGCCAAAAGTAAGATATATTTATTTATGATGGTGTACACATACACACACACACACACATACACACACACGCATTGATGTATCATTCTCAAATAAAATTACAACAGTAGGTTTCAAGTTCGCCAACTTATTTATATATTAAAGCAACGATAGCTCAGTGTTGATTTCATTTAGATTATACATTTGCTCGATTTTAAATTAATATACTCGAGTCTAAGTGAAATACCTAAATAAAAGGGCGGCATAATTGTCTTCCGCCCCGGGCGGCTGACACACACGCTACGCCACTGGTGCCAACAGCAATAATTTCTGAGAGTTATATAGGCTGTTATTTAATTTTACTTTAAGATTGGAGGACTGTTTCAGGATCATAAAAATTAAAAAAATATTTGATAAAAATATGTCAAACAATTCTTCTACTACGTGTACACCGCAACAAACAAATAAAGCTTTCGCAATAGATGATTTCCCTATGTGTATGAAGACAGATCAAGAGGATATATTGCAAACTGAAGTTAATACCGAAATGGATTCAAATGTCCATGAATCAGTAACAATTCAGCGCACCGAACATGTATTAACACTAACGGAAAGCAAAAATGATAACAGCGATGAAAATGGAATAAAAGTACCTTTTGAAGAAATGTCATCCAATGAGAATATAAATAACATTGATATGATTAATGATATGTATGTAACATTAGATGGCAATGAAGACTGGCCTGAGGAATCTTCAACTCTAAGAGACATCAAAGATTTGGAAAAGTCTGATGAAATATCATCAAAGAAGAATATAAATGACATTGATATGATTAATGAAATTTCTAATGATATGTATGTAACATTAGATGGCCATAAAGACTGGCCTGAGGAATCTTTTTTCCTTTTAAGAGACATCAAAGATTTGGAAAAGTCTATTTTGGAAGAAAATATATATAAAGAAAAAGAGCCGTGTTCTGCTAGTAAACGATTACGTGCTGATTTCGAGTATACCGAAACAGAAAACACCAAGAGAATAAAAACCAATAGTTTCAAAAGCTACAAAAACATCTGTATAACGTGTAAAGACCCAACGGAAGAGATGAATTTAAAAGCAATACAAAAACTGCTATCAGACGCAATTGATGAGCGTGATGGTTACTTACCACTGCTACAATGCCACGGTGCTAATAATAACCAATTGTTGTACAGTTGTTTTGATGAAAACACATACCATTGGATCCAAAAGATTTTATGTGACAAATTCGTGATAAAAGATATCAGCATTAATATTAAGGATAAATACAGACTACAAATGAAACTAAGAAGCTTCGTAAATGTTGATGACACTCACAAATTGCTAGACAAAGTAAAATTGTACAACCCAGATTTAGACATAAGTACGTGGACAGTGATTGGTAAAGTAATGTCCAATGACTTTGTTTTGATAGAAATTGAAGTGGACGGTACTTCCTTTGATTATATAAACCACAGTGACTTTTCGTTATTCGCAGGTGTGGACAAAGTTCAATTCAACGTAATTTGAATAATGTTTTTTGCTTTTCTAAAGAGATGTGACGAATGATACTTAGTATTGGTCTGAATGAGTTTTAGTGTCAAATACGTTATTTATATTTAACACCAGTTTTTCACAGCAACACTCACTCGGAGGAATATATAGTTGGTATTTGGACAAATTAATCGTGGCATCGCTATTTTTGAAATTACATCAAGTATGTAGTTTTAGATCTGACAGTAAAACGTATCTTTTATTACTTTTGTTCTTAATAAGTAAGTCGTTCTTATTGTTTTTTTTTTTTTTTTCGGAAATAATGTTTAAACAGTTTGTTTAAACGCCCTGTGTCAATGCGACACTGGAAAATAAATTTAAGTCTTACAGGTACCAATGATAAAAATGGATTCCAGTATTTTTACTACTACTACTCATAAGACTGATTATTCATCGGGTGTGATAATAATTCCTGTCATATGTCGATATTTAATTTACATGCAAATTCAATTTCTTCAAACTTCTGTTTGCATAAATACAATTTCTTGTATTTAACTTTAATTGGCAATTTACACCAGTCTTACATAGCCCGATCAACACAGAAAGTTTTCATGGCAATTTTTTTCCCTTGAAAAGACATGACTCGTGATAATAATTTAGTACTGGGTAATATAAGTTACGTGATTAAATCTGCCAAGTGCAGTTCTCCGTGATATTCGGTTAGCTAAACTACGTTGATTATTTATTATTTAAGTAAAGATTTTTGTTTACCTTTCAGTTGTGGTTTTTTTTTTATGAACCCTAATTCTATATTCCTGTATCTCATGATGAGTAACTGCCATTACCATTATTTATAAGCCAGGAAATATTGTGCGTTAGTAGGGCATTAAGAGAGCATAAAACTAAAAAAAACTTCTTGCCAGTAGTACAGTTGTGGTATTCTTGTTAATTGGATGTAATTGGAGCGTGATGTAAGTTTTAGTGATCGGGTTCAAGACCGGACGGAATCAAGATAATTTTAGGTAACCGATTCGGAAATACAGTAGACCTTCGATGTCACCATATGGTATGACCCACTGTTATAAACTCCGAAAAGCCGACTTCCCTTGGGTATCAAGTGAATAGAATTTATTATTTTTAAATTTATCATTGAACGATGGCATCTAATAAGTAATATATCGTAAATATCATCACATAGCACATCATTAATCACTGTCTCCTTTTCGTTTGTTTCCGCAAGTGTACGTAAGATATTCCCTAGATTACGGGAATAGTTAAAAAAAGGAAATGCCTTTACAGGGGCAACTATTGTATTAAAATAAGTACATACGTATTTTGTATTTAAATAAATAAATTTCATAATTGAAAAAAATTCAGATTGAAATTTTTTTATTGAAATTCATCATTCAAATTTCAGATCGAAGATGTTTCTATACGCGCTAATGACTCCATATAAAATGTGCAAGTTCATCTTGACAAGACATGATTTTGTAGGGAACACCATCTGAGTGACATAGATGCCGAACCTTTTCTGTATACATTCAACATGAAGTCTATGCTATGAGTAGCGAAGTATCGGGGCTACACTACAGAATGTACTAAGAACCACAAGTGTAGTATAAAATCTTTTTCGTTTTGATTTCTCTAAATCCCTTTGCATTTCTGATGACAAATCCGAGCATCTTTAAACTTTTTCACTTATTATAAATAAACATAATGTGGTATAATGTCACTATATATCGGATAAGAGTAAAAATGAACATTATGCACTTTTATTTACAATTTTAGGTAGAAAATTATAACTAAAGAAAATTTAAACCAAACTTACTTCCGCTTAATCTTAGGTCGTGATTGCAGTTTTGTTATATATGTTGTAATTATTATCCTTATATTAGTAGCAACAAAATCAGTACTTTTTATGTCAATATTTTATAACAGGATGTACACTTGGAAAGCACACTCTATATATAGATTTATTATATTAAAATTATAACTTAAAATCGGAGAACACATTGAGTGATTAACAATTATAAGGCAGTTATAATAATTGTACTTTCAAAGTTTTTGAAATATGCAATGCTATTAAGATTTGTACTTACCTTTTTTGTAGGTTTGTTAACGAAAATATAATTACTTATTAAATCTTTCTATAAATAAGACAATCACAATTTCCAATGTTTATTAATCTTATGAATAAATTTGCCGGCTAACACTTTTTATCATATGAATAAATATAGCGGGAAATAATAAATATACCTTATCGGAAAATCTTGAAAAGTAATGAAATTCACTGCGCACTAAATCTTAAGATATTTTAGATAGAAATTACTCTATTTCAGATTTCCCGACAGTGTTGTGTTACAACCAATGTTTACTTTGATAACACGGATTTGATATGGTACATTTAGTTGAATCAAAACTTCACTTTTATCAAATCCGATATATTGTTCCAATCGTCTTATTTCCGACCAGCATCTATTTGTCTTGTACCTGAGTGCTTGTAATATTTAATCGAATACATAGAAAGCTGACCGAAAATAATTTTTAAGATTTTTAGGTAGGTAGTATTTTAAGTTCCATATACTATACCTAATTGAAAAACCTGAGCTTTAATAGAAACCTAAATCTTATTATTAACAATACTGCCAACTTACAAAGCTGAAAGTAAAAATACATTTATAAGTAAGAAGTTCCCATAAAGTTTGTCTGCCGGGGTAGTGTGCCTTCACCCATCTATTAATGTTTCGATTACTATTATTTTTTGTGAACCTTATTATTAATGAAATGAAAATTAGAAAGATTTATGAAAAAGTTTGTCAAGAAAATGAGTATTATGTGTACCAGTGTAGGTTGGTTTGATTACACGATACAATTATGTAGTTTGGGCCAAGGCTGTCACGATGAAAATAAATTTATAGAAAAATTATAGCCATAATAACAAATAATAAAAAGTAGGTCTAAGGTATTATGGGGTTTATATTACTCAATGTGATATTTTAGTAATGGTTTCTCTAATGGACTCGTTTGCTAAGGAAGGATATGTCTGCAAAATTCACGATACATAAGGGCTTCCATGTAAACATATAAGGTTCGAATGTAGTTGAAGTTGCGTCGTTTTCCAGAGTTTTAAAATAGCTTCATAGGATATAGACTCCGTATTTTACAACCAATTAACAGCACGGGAGCGTCCGACTAGCGAATACATTAATAAGAGTAAAAAGATCATACGTCCAAGTATTTTCCGTCCTGCCTACAAGGCCTTACTTCGAAGCCCTGGTTTGTAAACCTGTGAACCTAAATAAGTCTCACCTCTATGAATTGTTAATTTAACGCTTAGGGGTTCGTCAATGTTAAATAAAAATAAATATATAAATAAAGTAATGTAGTTAAAAGTAATCGCAATGTTATCCCTAAAATATTCATTGCCATGGCCTTAAGTACTTGTTCACGTAGGATGACGCGGGCGCGGTAGACGTTGCGATCTCGTGTTCACGTTAGCCGCCAAGCGTTTGCGCGAGTGTGACGTGTTTTCAGAGGTTGAAAACATGGACGACGATCTTATATTTTAACCAAAAAATCATAAATAAAGTGGAAGATGCTAAAACGGTGCGGTAAAAAGAGAACGGTATGGTTACATACTGGTTTTGATTACATACTGGATTCAACAAGGAGTGTCAAGTTCAGAATGGTTGAACTTACCTGACGTCGCGAGTAAATAGCGCGCCCCGCCGCTAGTTCGACGTGAACACACAAACGTTTCAAGCGTTTGATAATATCTCTAGTTTCCCCGCTACGACCGCACGTGCGTTTCGTAAGTGAACACTTGTCCTAAGTCATATGTCCGATATATGTTTGATATTTCGTGATCGCGCCCGCGAGTCAACGTGAACAAGCACTAATACTAACATAATTTCAAGAGAATAGGAATATATTTCTATGTCTTAGGTTCACTTAAATTTTTTTTTTTATATTAGGTATATAAAACTACACGGAATTCATAAAAAATACAAAGTTCTAAGGCTGTGCAGGTTTATCCTCTGCCTCGGTTTTGGGCAGCAAGCCGCGAATGCTGAGATCATAAACTACCTCTTCTATTTTCTTCATGTCGTATTTCAAAGCGTCGAATCGTTTTCTCAAGTGGTCATTTTTGAGGTTAAGTAACCTTAAACAAAAACATAGAAGTTAAACAAAACATCAGAGCCGTGATAGCTCAGTGTCCGGGCGCTCGCTTTTAATTTAGTATACTCGAGCAACCTGAGTTCGATCCCTAGCAGATCCCGGCACGAATGAAATTGTTAACTTCAGTGACTTATCGCGTACTTAGCGGTGAATGAAAACATAGTGAGGAAACCTGCATATTTTAAAATAATAACAAAAAAGAAAATATTGCGAAGGTAAGTCCACCAATCCGCAGTGGGGTCACATGGCCTACTATACCTTATTACTCTCTCTCTCTGTACAGAGTAGGCCTCTGTCCAGCAGCGGGACATTTATAGGCTGTTAATTTCCTTTTTTCTTAAACAAAAAAATACAATCATTCAAATAAGATTCATAGCATAGTCACAAAACAAATATAAAAATTTTAGCACTTCTATTGTGACTATATTACTAAAATTATTAGGAAGATAAGTGAAGTCCGCCAAACCGCAGTGGCCGCGTGTTGCACTATGCTCTAATACCCTGTACAGAGGAGGCCTTTGCCTAGCAGTAGGATATTTATAGGCTTACTTCACTTTGCTATGTATAGTTGGTACTGAAATATACATTATGAACACCAATTAGAACAAAGAGCAATTATAGTGCACCATGAAGATATATTTTAGTTCTTAATAATGTCTAAAATATACATATTAAATGCATGCCAGAGTTAATGAAAGATTTATAGAAATTCACCTGAAACCAGCATTCAGCTCCATGACAAATTTTGATATTTGCAGCGGTCTATTATATTCGCCACGAGTGACAGAGTTAACCGCCAGACGAGACTGCAAATAAGGATTTATTTCATATCAGCCAAAAAATTGAAATCAGACATTGCAATAAAAAAAAAACATTAAAACCTTGAGGTGATACAAGAAAATGAAATTAGCACCATGTACAATAAAGCATAAATGCACTATGTATTGATTATAGTTTTAGTTTTACTAGAATTATGACAAATGACAAAGCCGTGATAGCTCAGTGCCCAATGAAATTGTTAATTTAACTTGCTGAATTATCTCATATTCCGCAATGAAGGAAAACATTGTGAGGAAACCTACATATTTTCGAAATAATAACAAAAAATAAAATATTTCAAAGATATGTGAAGTCCGCCAACTCACAGTGGGGTTGTGTTGTGGACTATATGTGATGGATAGTTTTAGTACTAGTGGTGTTGCAATTATGTTGACCTACTAAGGCCTTGGCATGCAATTGTTTTATTATTAATAACAGCAGTGGCTTACCAACTCAGAGCATAAATTCAAAAGTCCAACAAGATAGTCTTCAATGTCCAGATGAAACCCTTCTTTTTCTTCTACAGCACTTACTAAAAGGCAATGGGAAATCATGACGTAAGTTTTCTATATAGAGTGAAGAATTGCAAGTTAAAAATGTAATAGTGAGGGACTTTCTTAAGAAAACAGCTATACTTACTCCCAAGAACCTCAGCCACAGTGTCATGTGAGGCCATTATCCCCTTCTCCAGCCAAATAGTAAGTGTAATAAGGAAGCAGTAGCGTTGTGTCATAAATTTCCAATGATCCTGATATCTGAAAAATGACGCAAGTGAATGATAATTATCTTCATTCTTTTTCTTTGTCAAAAGTACACAAGGAAGCAGACAGTTTAATTGATGTTAAATAATCACCTCCAGTTATAGATCCTTTAAATAAGTGAGGCTGTTTCCTCACTCTCCAGATGAAACCCAAAGTATTTACACTGGTTTTCTGTGAAGCCATGGCTTCCCTAGACGAGCCTGCCCATTTTTGCAACAGTGTTGCATGTGCTTACTGCATATTGTATTATGCATAACCATAGATGCCGTTATGAATGGATAAAGGAAGAAAGTCTGACCTTTGAAAATTCATGTAGAAAGAGTATTTGGCAAATATGGTAAGAGGCAATATAAATCAAATATATATGTATGTATAGGTCATAAGCAAGTAATTATTGGATGAGAGTATTATATTATAACAAAAAAAAAATATTTTATGAGAATACTAGATAATGCATATTTAATAATATCTGCTTGGCAATTACGGTGACGGGTGAGAAATTGACTGTGTTAAGTTAATGTTATTAGAAGTTTGTAAAAAATTCATAGAAAATCATACTTATAATAATCGGAAGAGGGAACAGCATTTCTTAATTTTGCATATCCAGCATTGGCCTTTTCAAACAATTGCCTTGCCAGAAGACATGCAGGGGCAACTGAAATTGAATATTGAATTAATATATCTGTTAGGGATCTTTCCTAACCCTACCTGAATTTTTCAAATTATGACACAATTTTGAAATTATTATACATTTCTTTTTATTTTAATATCATGGTACATGTTATCTAATTAAGTGATCATAGATCATAAGTCACCCAAGTTAATTCTTTTTTCTTTAAAGTGTATTTCAATCAGTTTATTGATTGTTTTGAACTTTAAGGTCAAACAGATGAATTAATATTAAGGTAAATAATAGAGGTATGGCATATACGCCTCACCTCTATTATTTACTGGAACATGTTTTGACACTAGGTTTCATTCAATAAATCTCAAAAGAATCATAATAGAGTACAAACATGAATTGAGTATTAAGAATTATTGACCAGGCGGAACTTTTAAACACAAACTAGTTTGTCACTGGAACATATCACATTTAATTCTCGGTATACATTCGACGGACGCATGTGCGAGTGACGTAGATACAATGCTGAATGGCGGTCAACCTTATAAGTAACATATTAAGATTAACTAACATATTTAATGATTTGAACTTGTAATATTCGACGCATGCATGTGATGGATGCTCACACTTTTATCAAACTTATATATCACTGAACAAATCCAAGTCAGTTTTAATTAAAATGCAGGGGAAGCGGGACAATAAACTGGATTCAATATATCATAGTTTCGCTTATTAGCTAAATAGGAGTACCTACTTTGGTTATATGATGGATACTTCTAAATATTAGAGGAGCTAGTAAGTACATACTCATGAGACTCAGTACATGTTTTATCTAGTACAAATCACCTCCAGTCAATATTTGAATGCAATTAAGCTTAATGGCAAGTCAGATTTTACCTTAAAAAGAAATATTTCAGGGCATATTTAACACAGTTCCAAACTATGGATATTAATACATGGTGTTTCATGAATGGCTTACTAAAGCTAAAAGTTAATAGGTAAATGATATACATACATGTAATGTTTGTAAATAGATATGTAAAAGACACCCAGAAAACATTATGATCATCACACAATTTTTTTTCATTAGTAGGGGTTGAAGCCATACCCTAAGGTGCATGAGACAGGTTCACCATCCACTACACTAATCAGGTCAAAATTAAGGTTTATTATTTCCTGTTTTCTATACATTACATGCTTCAAGTACAAAACCACACACTGTCTCTCTTGAAATTAAAGTTATTTCCAAGTTGTACTTTGGCTAATGTTTCTTTATTTTAAAAAATATGTAAATATTTAGATATTTGTATTGCTAGGTGAGATGTCAAAAAAAGATATTACTTACTACCAGCTTCATTGTAATGAATAACCTGAAGGACCGTTGTTGACTCCCGGGATATGGCATCTATTTCTTTGCAAATGTTACGGATAACCTATAAAACATGTCGTATTGTATAATTTATGACATAAATGTAATAGTTCCTACGTATGCATCGTGTTAATATTATTTGAATTAATAAATAAGATATATATTCAGTTATAAATCAAACGATGCATTGAGTTTTTTTTTATTTCAAACCGCGTAAATATTTGCAATGTAATTGATTAAACTACCTCACGTAATCCTTGTTCTTCGTCAAGGCTTTTTTGAAATTTACTAAATATATCATTTATAACCAAATTTCCACTCATTTTGCTTAAATATTTAATTTATTACTAATTCTCAATTCACAATCAGTAAACAAATTGTTTTCTATCCAGTTATGTCAGTAGAAGTGGGCGACACAAATCGTATCAGATATGAAATCTAGATATTAGTACAATATCCGAATATCGCTTACTGGCTCGTTCAATATCTATGTATTTTACAATATCTGATATTTCCGAAATCTGATATACCGAATACTCGCTCGCTCACTATACCGACACGAATCGCGATATCATACGGTTTGCCACAATATCTGATTTTTAAACAGATTTCGAAAGACAAAGCGCGTGAGATACAAATACTCACTAGTTAGAGCGGGACGGCAAGCAATGAACGATATCAGATATCGAGCGACAAAGCGCGTGAGATATAAATACTCACTAGTTAGAGCGGGACGGCAAGCAATGCACGATATCAGATTTTTAAACAGATTTTGAGCGACAAAGCGCGTGAGATACAAATATTACACTAGTTAGAGCAGTACGGCAAGCAAGGCACAATATCAGATTTTTAAACAGATATTTTGAATAAGTAATTTTGAATCTTAAAACCATGCAAATCAGATCCGTTTCAATTAAATACTAATCATGGTATCAACGATTACTACAACGATATTATTAAGTATATTTTTATTGTTTTGTTTAGCCTTGAGCCGTAACGGGCGACAAAGCGCGCAGTTAAGTAATTTTGAATCTTAACCGCATGGAAAAAAAAATTTTTAGTTGCATTTAAATACGAATTACGATATTAACGATGTCTTTAAATTTTGTTTAGCCTTGAGCTGGATTGCATTGGTACCTAGCACGTAATAGTTAGGGATGCCAACTTACTACTTAAGAATTTTCTGCCAAAATTAAGGAAGAAAAATATAAATGGAAATGTTTTAGGTGGTAAATTTGAATATTTTTATTAGTTAAATTTTATTCATATTTTTGGAAAAAAATAAAAGTACACAAAAAGAAAAATATAATTTAATAGTGCTGTGCTGCTTGAGTGGAAATCAGATCAAGGCTTATGTGCTTTGTGTGTATATTTTAAATTCTTCTGCCCTAAGTTATAATACTGAATGTACATTTCTTTTTTTCTTTTCTTACACAAATTATAAAAATATTGTCACTCATGATTGCGTGTTCTAAGAATATGTTAAAGTCTATTATTAAGCGATATATAAGATGTTAAAATAAATCATTTTTATATTACTTCAATTTCTATTTTTAATGAAATTTTTAATTTAATCAGGTAATTTTACCTTAATAGTATAAAAAAATCGTGATTTAAAATTCAGTAAGTTTTTTGAATTTAGTCAATTTTAGTGGGTTTTCGAATTTATTTAGAAGTAAGCTTTTTGAACAGTTGGTATATGGAATGAATCAACTTTTAAATACGCCTGCACAATTTATATTCATAATGAGTATAAAATATCGTTGAAAACATTTTTTTTTTTTTAGAATTCAATGTGGATACGTGACCGTAAAATATATAGATCTTAAAATACATAGTTTCGAAATCTGATATTTGAAATCGAAATCCGATTTAGATACGGTACTCAGAAAAAGCGATACGACCCATCTCTATATGTCAGTATATATGTCTTATCTATGTCTCAATCGTTGACACTTGACAGCTTCGGTTTCGGTCTATTTAACCATCCATTTTACTATGTTTAACGGCTCCGGATTTATCCATACAGACAATTCTTCAACAGTTATACCGGCATTTTTTTACCTGAAGTCCTGAATATGTCATTCTTTTAGGGATATGCAAAAAGTATCGATATCGATTAAGTAATAAGTGACTCCCACTAATATGTACGTTCCGCCGCAATTGGCGTAGACCGTAACGCGTCCTCGATTTCCCCCTGACGATGAGACGACTATTGCCATCGTAAAAAATTACGTAAACACACCAGAACACACAACATTCGCCGGCGAGTGCGGCTGACATATACTAGGTTCCACCACGTACCTGGCCTGTTTTCCCCCGTTAATAATATTATAGAAGCGTTTCGGAGTTTCTTCATCACTTCTTTTCTAGCGTCAACGTTTTCCGAAGTGGTAGTAATGATAAAAATGCACAAAAAATACGGGTGTGATACATTACATTTTTGCATTTTTCGCTTTATTTTATTGGTATGAACTTAGTTTTATCATCATCATCATCATTTCAGCCTGTTTGAGTCCACTGCTGAACATAGGCCTCCCCCATACACTGCCATGAAGTACGATCCTGAGCCACCTGCATCCATCGAATTCCCGCACATTTGCACAGGTCGTCACTCCATCTAGTGGGGGGTCGTCCTACACTGCTATGGCCAGTACGAGCCTGCCATTCGAGAACCTTTCTTCCCCAACGGTTATCGGTTCTACGAGCTATATGGCCGGCCCATCGCCACTTCACCTTGCTAATCCTCTGAGCTATGTCAGTTATCTTAGTTCTACTGCGGATGTCTTCGTTACGAACTCTATCACGCAGAGAAATACCGAGCATAGCCCGCTCCATAGCTCGCTGAGCGACTTTGAGCTTCCTCATACGGCCATAGTTTTATATGAGCAATTAAATAGCAAAAGAACTTATTTACTTCAGTTTATTTTTGACAGTTATAAATGTTACAAGTATTTTGGTGGTACTCAGGGATTTTCTATTATAAATAAATGGATCAACGATTTTGCATCAGATTTTCAACGGTCAACGAACTCGCTTGAGTTCGCTAACGAGAGGCTATGGGATCCAGGAGAGCCAGTGCTAATAAACAGTAAGTCTCCCAGCCCCCAGAGGCGGACCTTCTTTTTTATTAACGTGGGGGAAATGCCTGCAATGAAATGGTTGTTCTGCTATAGAAAGTCAGTTTGATGCCGTGTTCCGCATTTAATTGCAGTGCTTTGTTTTGGATTAATCATGCCCAGGCTACAATTGCTTCGAGAATTAGTCTTTCTTCAGTTTATGTAGTTTTTATATTAGCTGTTGAAAGTGTAGGTTCGCGGAGTCGCCAACCATTTTTGAAAGGTGTACGACCTAGACTTATCGCCGCGGCTTATGACTAGGTGATTCTATTGTCGCTCAATGACTAGGCTTAAGTTACTACACCCCTGTAGTCCCGGGCTTATAGAATAGGGCTAAGGTATCCCCTGCCTGTCGTAAAAGGCGACTAAAAGGGGACACGGATGGGCAGCACACGAAGTGGTCTCGTGTTGCTGTAAGAGCGTGAGGGGGTTGGAGAAGGTTTATCCTTCTCCGAGGCGTGCTCAGGCGTAGTACCGAGGGACACCGGTGCGTTCCATGGGAGATCCCGGAGTCCCTCCAAATGTACAGAAGGTGGCCACCGAGGGGGTTTTAGTGGGTAAGAACCCCACATAACCCTGTCATGTAAAGTGACAGGGTATCTTTTGAAGATTTCCCCCCCGATACCAAAAAAAAAAAAAAAGGCTTAAGTTACTATTCAGTGAGAAAATTCTAGCTTTCTTGACACCAGGCCATATTAACTAAGTTTATTAGATAACATTTAATTTAGTTAAGATTTAATATTGAAAATATTGGTATGATCCATTAAATGTCTTGAAAAATAAATTTTTATTGGGTGACTGGGTGTTTCTGAATATTTTAATTTATTAATACTTTTTTCAATATTGATGAAGTCTGCATTAGATAATACTGAGTACCGTCAAAGTGTTATATTTAATATCGCTTATAATCGCTCATGGTCACTAAATAAGACAAAAAATATTCAGTTCGAAATTATCGTTCATTTTATTTTAGTTTAAAATTCTTTAGCCAGGAGGCCAACGCATTTGGCGTCCTCCCAAAATGTGAATGTGCAAATGGTACACACTTTGTGCACCATCTTTTCCATCATTTATAACAAGCCGAAAACCAGTCTTGTCCAAACCCTCTTTGGCTGCAATTTTGCGTGCAGCAATTAGTAAGTGACCTGCAGAGGCATTACCAAATTAAAATATGCATTATAATTTAATGTTTGTGAATTTTGATATATGTGGTTAATGTAATATGAGTTACTTTAATATGGATCAAATTAAATACTGTAAATTTTGTCTTATATATTATATAAGTGACACAACATTTAAAAAAATATACACTAAAAGCCACTGATAATAATGAATGTTATAAACTTTCTGTTCAAAAGGAATCAATATTATTTCAATTTCTTGTTTTTAAATAATTAAAATATCCATTACCAAGAAGCTGCTCATCTTCATCTGTAGCTTTAGACAACTGCGGTATAGCTTTTCTGGGTATCACAAGGATGTGAGTAGGAGCTTGAGGGTTCACATCATGGAATGCTACACACTGCAACATTAGTTAATTTGAATATGAGGCAACATCTTGATTACATCATAAACATTTCATTTAATAGTAATAACAAATCATTTAATAGTAATTAATTTGAATGAACTTGTTATAACTCCATTCACTATTCCACTACGCTTGGTAATGAATAAAACTGATTGAATTACAGAATGAATATTTTGATGTTTCTAAATTACTTTATATAAATACAGGGTGGCTTTTTTAAAGGTGCCCAAATTCACAATTCCCATTCCTTTCTCCAATTATGCACTATTTGAGATAAGTTCAAATGAATGTATTTATTGAATTACGAGTGATTTTAAATATTTATCATTTTTTATATAACATTATTTGTCTAGAATTTAATTTAAAAAATGGATACACTTAGAAAAGACTCCCTGTATACAGCATGTCTTTACAATTGTGACAATAAATGAGAACACATATAGGGGATAACTTTTGAAAATTGTATTAAACACATACATTCCTTAAACATCAATGTTTACAGAGTTTTTAAATTTTCTAAAACAAAGAATTTTAGAACAACCTTATGTATAAAACTGTAACATAAAGTTCATTTGTAAAGGACACAAAGCATATGAATGGGTTGAATGAATTTAAAAGAGACGAAACATATTGTTAGAAGGAGAGGCTTGTAATGCGACGCTGTGGCGCGAGTTGTATAGGATGTTACAAATTTTGTTTCTTTTTTAATTAATTAGTTTGTTTGATAAATATTTTTTTCAATTATGGATTGTTTAACATTAATATTTTTCTATGATTATTAGCAAGTAGCGTTAGATGTGTGTCCATTTATTGTCGCGATGGTAACGACACGCTGTATGTATAATTAACATATTTCATAAAAAGTTAAATCATACATCTTAATAATTGACTTTAGAATAATTATATAATAGAGCTTGATATTTTTTTGCAACAGATTATGTATTACATTAATTTGAAATAATTAAGGCAGCAATTAACTGTATTGCAGTTCAATAGTATAAAAATTTATTGTCTAAAACTAGTCCTTATTAAAAAGAAAATAATAAATTTTATATTTATTTTATGACATCATTTTACATATTATCTAATGCCTACCTAAGCAAAGTTTGTATAGGAAGCTTTCTAGATTGCTCAAGCTAGGATGGGTGTTGTCCTTGTTTTTGCAAAACAACTTTGTTAGAAAAAGGAGTGTAATATTTGTGGTTAATATTTTACATTTAAAATAAAATAAAAACAATTTTCTGTGAGTGAATTGCTTAGGTTATTATTACAAATTATTTTTCTTATTAATGTCAAAATTTAGTTTTATTTCTACTTTTGGTAAATACATTTCCTAAAAAAATAATTTCTACAAAATACTACTTTTTTATGTGAAAATTTGCCCAGCTAGCAGACAGTTCACCTGATGTTAAGTGAATACCGCCACCCATGGACATCTGCTACACCTGAGGGTTCAAGATGCGTTGACAATCTTTTGAAAATTAGGCTCAGGCTACCTGCCCAACCAGACGAAACGCTTCTACTTCCATTTTACGCCGGTCTTCTGTGAGGTCGTGGTACTTACCCGGACGAGCCTGCCCCATTCGTGCAACAGCCGAGGATGCTGCGTGGCCCTAGCACCGTATATTACTTACGAGCACAGATTACTAACACCGTAATTACGAGCTAAATTTCAATACTGCTAGGTTTCTATTTACGATTGTCAGTAATTTTCAAAAACTTAATGTTAAAATAATACCTGCTCATCTTCATAGACAAATTTAGCGGGTATTTCATTTCTCAAAATCTTTCCGAATATGGTATCGCCACCAGCCGTGGCCGATTGAGCTAACTCCACCTCGCTTGCCATTAGTTTTTCTTCTTACCTTCTGGCTTCTTTTATAGCTATAACTAGAATCAGCCGGCAGCCCCGTTTTATTGTATGACTGACATTGACAACTGGGTAGGCATGAGCAAAAAATATCGATATCTTTTCATAATATTATCGATAATTTTTATCGCGATATATGATATATCAATGTTCGATATTTATTTTAAACTATCGAATTCGTGTTCATTAACTCTGGTTTCATGTTTAATGTTACTAGACACTCTTTGCATGCTCCTCGCGCATCGTTAACTATAAAAATCTTCAACTGTTTTCTTCATGTCTATTTTTTTCCAGAATTTTGAATCATTTGTTAATATATTTGAATAATTATATGAAAACCGGCGATATATCGATATTTTTCTCGATAATTATCTAGTTTTTATATGTCGATACGATAAATATCGAAAGTTTTTTTCTTGCTCATCCCTACATGGCATGTTATTTGGTAGCTGTTTATCTGATAGATGTTATCTCAATATGTAATGTCAATATGTATAATAGATGTGACTGTTCTATGGGATGATATCGGATATCGGATGGGTCGATAACGGATGCCGCAAAATATCGATATTTTTTTTAGATGTCGATATTTTTAGCCGATATATCAATATATATAAAAATATTAATATATATCGGTCAATTTTTCGGTTTTAATAAAATAATTATTAGTTCAGTCTGATTCAATAATAAGTAATAGTATTTTTTTTTTACCAAATTCACATTATTTTAATGTATGAGAAATCTTAATAAAACGAAGGTACGTTAAGCAGAGACTTGTCCTAAAAGACAGGCCTAGATCAGCGGAATTTAGTAAGTTATTTGATTGACATGAAAATGTTGAACTACAATTAAAGAAAGTCACTTATGCGGTTAAATAATAATAATTTTTATGAGGTCAAATAATTTTGTAACGAAATTTTGATATTATATTATAATATGTATAGAATTTGATTATAATTAAATTTTGTTAACTTTATTTGAATAATAAAGCTGATACCAATAATATTTTGCAAGCTATTTATTAATAAGCTTAACATGTAGTTTAATATTTATCATTTGTAACATTTTTATACCATGGCGTAACGTAGATATGCATATAAAGCACGAAGCATGAAATTTAAGTATACATACCATAATTATAGTACAAAATCCATCACGACACTACTAGTCATAGGCAACAGTTATTTATTACGTTCATTTCTTTTACGGCTTTGAGTTTGTTAATATTCAGCTGAATTAAATTTGAATAATCATATCGTTTCTGATACGATTCCGCATTTAAATTTTTATATAGATATATCGGATCAAAATATCGATATATTTAAAAAAAAATCGCTATATCGACATTTTTTCGGCATCCCTATGGCACTTGGCAAGTTTGCAATCCACCACGGTGTTGCCTTTGCTGAATATGAATGCTGGGGCTATTAAAGAATGCGTACCTATCCAATAACATCGTAATTGAAACGAGCGTAGAACTATCCAGTGTAGTATGCTGATATAGCGGCGGTTTTAACTAGGAGTGAGCTATACTAGGTTAAATGGAGTACCTGTTACGTTACGCCTGTTCGTTAAAAATAACAGTGACAAATACCTGTTACAAAATAACAGCCTGTTATTTCATACTATGTTGTGACAATTTGTTTAAATGTTACCGCAGTAACAGCTGTTACAGTATGTTACTCTATGGTAACGTCCGTACTTTCTAAAAGAGCTAAAGACCGATGCCGGAAAAAGAAAGAGCTTGTAACAGTGATAGTGTTCAGTAACAACTCTCCCGCCTCGGCGATTGGATCCGCAAATGGAGAATAGAAGTAAATCCCGAAAAGAGTGTGGCGATTCACTTCACACAAAGTACTTACCCGTCACATCTTTATAATGGTCCTCGCCAATTCAGAAAGCTGGGGCAAATATCGCTTTATGGCCAACCGCTCCCCTGGGAGAAAAAGGTCAAATACTTAGGACTCACTTTCGGCTCGCGTATGTCATTTACTACCCACATTAATAACGTTCGCAATAGATCCGCGTTCGTCTCCGGCCGGCTACACAATTAAAAAGTAAAATGCCCTTAAGGTACAAATTATTATTATATAAGACCTGCGCATGCATGACCATCACCCACACGCACCCTACTCGCTTGTACAAGTTGCAAATAGTACAAAATAAAGTCATCCGCCGCGCAACCGGCGCGCAGTGGTATCAACGCAACGTCGACCTGCACAGCGATTGCAGACTCCCGACGATTCGCGAATATTTTAAAGACCTGAGCAAACGGTTATTCGATAGAGCCGAACATCATCCCAACCTTCTGGTGGTAAGCGCAGCAAATTACCAACCTGACACAAACGCGAACGTCAACAAGCGTCGCCCGCGAAACGTCCTAATCGACCCGGTCGAGGAAGGGGACTTAGATACGTCGGACCCACCGCCGGGGCTCCCGCCGGATAACACTACACCCACAGCTAGTACAACAACAAACACACTAGTGCGCCCTTGCCTCCGAGCACGGCGAGACCAACACAACGCGTACACAAGGTACACCCGCGTTCCGGGGCGGTTCTCACCTCTCCCAGCCACCGATTAGCTAATTGCACAGTCGACGGCTATCGGGGTTTCGGTCCAAACCACGACCTCGATGGCCCTTAGATAACACACCATAGATAAACGCACGCATGAGCACATGCGTGGCCCTAACCACAGCGGAGGGCCCAAACCCGTGGGTTCTGGCTAGCCCACCGGTTCTGCGTCTGATGAAGCTTTAATAGTCTCTTGACTGAAAGCAAAAACATCAGTTATAAAATAAAAATAAATAACAAGTGTTATAAGGTGTTTATCTCTTACTAAGGTAGCAGTCGTAAGCATGAATAAAAAAAAGCTTGTGACAGCGCGTTAAGGAGCAGGAAGTGTTAATTAACTTTGTTCGTAACAGGTACAGTCTGTTATCTCGAGATACCTGTTATATTTACCTGTTACGCTAAATACGCCTCACTCCTAGTTTTAACAAAAGCCAAAGGCTTTGGTTAGAAAAGGTATGTAGGCAGACTGACTACTGACTAACTGAGGACTCAGGAGATTAAACCAGCTGGTTCAAAAATACGCCGTACGCTCCGTTGCATTTTTATGACCCCTCTTAATGAAAGATGGACAATTTGGCTTACCTCACTCACCAGACGAAATGCAGACTATAAGAATTCCACTTCACTAAATTAAAATATGTTTACGGATTTATCGCATTTATTATTACGAGTTTCCCGACGTTTTGAACCCTTTTCAGCGTTCATGGTCACTTTCGGCCTAAGAGATTTACATGTTTTGCATTCTAAAGCATTAGAGAGGGACTTAATAGTTATCTGCTGTTATAAAATGTATAGATTTTGTTAAAAATGCATACAGCGCCTTAAGCACTATAGTATACAATTTCGGCAAGACAAGAAACAGTGCAAGATACTTTTCAGGCTTTAATATAAGTACATAAATAATGTATAGAATCACGTCAATAACAATATATCTCATTATAACATTATACATTTTAATTACAATAAAAACTAATTAAAACTACACATAATTGTTGTATGCATGAATAGGAGAATGGAAGAGATCAACATTACATTTATATAAAAACATTAAACAAACTTATTACCTTACAGTTGATATCGATAAAATGCCTACAAAGTTGTCTATGCCAAGGACATTGGATACAAAGTTTTTAAACTTTCTACTTTTATGGTAATATTTTTTATTCCCTATCTTTTCCAATTATTTAGCACGGTCTGTTTCAGTTTACGATATAAATGTAACGAAATATAACGAATTTACTTCAATAAAAATCAAAATTAATTTTTTTTATGATATAATTAAATTTTAGCACATCACTATTTACAATATATATATTTTTAAAATGTTTAATGTTTTTATTAGTATTGGTATTTGATGCACGTAAATGAATAATTTTATACATGGTAGAATATTATTTTTATATATGCTTTACTATAAATATCTATATGAATTATTATTATTAGAGGGAATTACTTTAAAATTTTAATTGTGTAAGTGAAGCAGTTACAATTGCAATATTAAATTTAAACATACTAAATGTAACCTAATATTCATTTGGCATATTAAATCAAATGTAATTAAAACTACAAATACAAAAGCCATACCAGCTTTTTTTTAATGAATTCATTTATAAAAAGGCAGTCGAATATACAGCGTGTCTTTACAATCGCGACAATAAATGAACATACATATTGAGGATAACTTTTTAAAATTATATTAAACATTTACATTCTTTAAACATCAGTGTTATTAAATTTTCCAAAACAAAGATTTTTAGAACAACCTTACGTATAAACCTGTAACGAAAAGTTCATTTGTAAAGGTCACTAAGCATATGAATGGGTTGAATGAATTTAAAAAATACAAGGAGAGATTTGTAATGCGACGCTGTGGCAACGAATGATAAGTCTCTGAATGTATGAATCAGTCAGGTGTAGTTGTGTAGGTGTTACAAATTTTGTTTCTTTTATACTTAATTAGTTTATTTGAAAAATATTTTTTTTAATTACGGACTACCCGAATGGCGTTGTGGGTAGTGTACCTGCCTCCTGCGCCAGAGGGTGTGGGTTCGATCCCCACTACTGGATAAATTTTGTGTGATGAACATAGTATTTTTCTAGTGTCTGAGTTAATATATGTATAATATGTATTTATTTACAAAAGAAAAGTATGTTTAAGTATGTTTTTCAGTTTTCTAGTACCCATAGTACAAGCTTTGCTTAGTTTGGGACTAGAGAATGTTGTGTAAAAATGTGTCCTAAATATTTATTTATTTAATTATGGATTTTGTTTAACGTTAATATTTTTTATGATTATTGGCAAGTAACGTTAGACGTGTTTTAATTTATAACTATGTTTTTACTGTTTTTTATGTTTATTTTGGTAACGACACGCTGTATAGGGTTAAGGGATTGACAAGGGAATATCTATTTTAAGTGTTGTTTAGTCTCCATTCACAGCCCATAGTATTTATTTTAAATTATTATTATCAGTTACTACAGATGCCATAGGTATGAGTTAAGAAAAGAGTGCAATAGTTCTTGGCAATGCTTTTTTTTTTAAATATGTAAATAGCAAATTTTATCGTATTGTATGGTTGGATGGTTGGTTGAATACCTAAGGGCCAATTTCATCATATTCCATAAGTCTACTTAATATCCTGGTAAATATATTAACGGATCGTTAAGGGATTTCATTTTACCATTTTTCTTGTGATAATTTTATCGAAGGAGTAAGGCAAGGTAACCCGGTTCTTTTGGGCTCATTGGCAATGTATCTTTAAAACAACAGGTATTGTAGATGTGTGCAGGTGGCGGTAATCAATTTTAATCTCTGATGCGCTGACTGTTCTCTTGTAACCTTAGTATAAAATTACAAATAGCATAGAGCAAAAATTTTTTTCGAGGAATGTTTTATATATGATTCAGTTGAAACAAATTGAGTTACTTAAAATGGTAAAATGGTGGCATTTTGTATTGGTCGTTTTGGAATGTTAGTGTGTTGATTGAAAATCATTCAGTTGATGTCTGATAAATATTCCGTTATATTATTGGTAAGGAGTTATTTTAATGGCTTTGCTTCTTTGAAAAACTGATAAGCAGATGACTAATAGAAGTTAGATTTAAATAATTTTATGAAATTAAGGCTTGACTATGACAGTTTTAACATGGTAATGACTTGAGCCTGATGTTGCGTTTATTCCATTTTATTTTTTTAATATAATTATAATTTAAAAATAAATATTAATTACTACATATAAATTGATATACTTTATGTATCTATACATTTTACTCTAGCGCAACTCCAGTCTCATTAGCTGTTTGGTATTTTAAATTATTGAACTATTAAAATCTCATGGCTAAAGTCAATGAGAAATAACAAAGTTATTAACAAAGACATTTTATAATACGGATATGTTATTAACGCAACCAAAGTGAAGCCACGTAAACGTCCCAATTGGGACGTCTCTTCTTTATTTCACGTTAGGCATGGCAGCGAGCAAGACGCCATATCAAAAAATTTACAATAATAAAAATGCCGTTGTCTTTATAAGATGTACTAAGTACAACTCGATGGTTAACAAAATACAAGGGATCTCATATCATGTAAATAATGCAATATATCATGTATTTATTTGTATATTTCAATTAGTTGCTAATATTTTAATACGGGGACGAGAAAGATGTGTGCACCTCGAGATATTTTACACTAACGCTATAATGACAAATACTTGCCGTCTTCTTTTTTCTTATTGCTTTAATTACGCTATTCTTTTTATACCATTCGATATGTGGTAAAGTTAAGATGATCGAAACGTGTGAATGTGTGCTGTCACCCTGTTTGGAAAATGGAACAGTGAACACTTTCGACAGGTGATTTGGTTAGCGTATCACATATCTATAACATAAAATATCATTGTTTACTATAGAAAAATACATAAAAACAAATATATAATACAACGTTTTTATTTATCTTTAACTCTACCTGCGCACTGCACATATTATTGGAAAACGACGGATACATAACTGTCAAGTGTAATAACTTTTTAGAAGTGTCACATTTTTTTCGAGGTAACGTAGTCATTCACGTAATGTCCATTGCAACATCCTCATTAGTAACTTAATGTTTTAAGTTGGCGCTACCCCCATGAAGGGTCATATTTGGCCCAGGGGTAGTCCGGGGCAAGATATACTCGCCGGCCGCGGACGAAGCACGTCACTATGCCACGGTAAGCGGTACGCGGTATCCCACTCTGTGAAACGAAATTGACAATTGACCTTGAACACACTATTTAAAAAATTATATTTTTGACGATATACTTCTTTAGGCGCGTTATGAAAATATGTAAGATGTGCGCGCATCACTGTAACACAAAAGATTTTGGGCACCTTTGAATAATTTTTCTTTCACCTTTGAATAGTTTCAATAAAGAATGTAGATGGCGCTTTCATAATTTTATTATTTTTGTTATTTATATCCTTTTCCAGTCTTTCTATTATTGTATTGTAATTCAATATTTGCATGCAATTAAAAATTCTTTTTTAATGTAAATGTACACACCTCCCATTTTTTTTCGTATACACACATACATTTAAAACATTTTAATCGATAAAGAGAAATAATCGAAACACCAATTACGAAGTAATATTTTTCACTGACATTTCGATTTTGAGAAAACAAATAAATATATCTTGCTATGCTAAGGGAATCCGCCATTACGTTGGGTACAAAATTCATTTGAAAAGAAATAATTATATGCATGCCGCCATTGTACAGCATTAGCTTTATGAATTTTAATGGAATCTACACTGATACAAAAAATGTGGTAAAATTATTTGCTTATAAGCAATTGATGACCACTCACGCGAAAGTCGTCCATTAAACCTAGCTGACGTGTTGTTCGGGGACAATTCCATTAAAAAGTGGGGAACACGTCGCAATTGATGACCACTCACCCGAAAGTCGTCCATTAGACCTAGCTTCTTGGCCGCCTTCTGGTAGGTCTTTGCGTTGGTGTAGGAGACGCGCACGGCCTCGCGGCCCGCGTTCGATATCACCTCCTCGGCGGACATCGCCGGGAGCGAATACACTGTCGACGCCAACGCCTCGTCGTACACGTCCTGAGACATATGTATGTCGCTGAGTAGTCCTAAAGATCCTCTCGACGACGACACAATATGGACGCGCTTTTTTTTAATGTCATTTTGTTTTACAGGACCAAGACATTGGTTGCGAACGGACGGTTCATTATGCGGTTTTTAATTTTAATGAATTTTATTTTTTCTGTGGTAACCTACGAACGTATTAATTTCTATGTAAAATTTCAACGTTTCATAAGAACGTTTCATAAGAAGAATAAAGATAATACCAGTACAAATTTTTAGTATCGGCTGTGACTGAGGTACGGCCAATTTTCTATGGAAAAAAAAATCACGTGTTTATTTTTATTAGGTACTCGTTTTGAATACTCGAAAAACCAAGTATTGTATAATTGATTTCTTAGTTAAAAAAAAGTAGTAGCTTTTTTTTATATTAATACCTTGTAATTAAAATATACATATTTTGATAACCAACAAACCTGTTTAAGCGCATTACTTGCCATTCTAGAAATATCACTGAAAATACTAAAATAAGAAGTAGAATTTATAACTGTTAGACTGAATGTTTTGAAAAACTGTGTTGATATTTCTGGGGCGTAAGAGTAAAAGACGAGGAAAATAGAGAAGAAGAAATAGAATCCCAAGTCCGTGCAGCCCAAAAAGTCAATATATGAAACTAACCTTGAGCAAATACGTCAGGTTGAGCTTTGTGAACTCCACAAAGTCGGTATTAAGATGCATGTACCGGAGGTGGTTATCGAAGAAGAGTCCTTTGCTCACGCCGATCTGAAAACAAACATAGTAGTAAGCAGGATATGTTAATTATCGAATAGCAGAAACTCTACTTTTCAATATTTTTCTTATTGCTGAATGTGATAGTCTATATCAATCTTAAACTTTAGAGAGCATTTAAAATCGTTTTAGCCCAGTGTTCGAACACTTGCTTTTAATTAATTCAGGTATCACAGTTCAAATCCCGATATCGGCACCAATGAAACTGTTTATTCCAATTTTAAATAGTTTTTTACACGTGCTCGTAGTTGATGACAAATATTGTGACTTAGAGCATAATCCAGATCCACCACCCCTCTGCGTTGTAGCGGACTTCAGATATCTTCAAGATATTTTATTTTTCTTATTAATTCGAAAATATGCAGGTTTCCTCACGATGTTTTCCTTCACCGACGATCACGTGATGAGTCAGCACTTAAAATTAACAATTTGTGCCGGCATAAAGTATCTGGTTCCTCGAACATATTGAATTAAAATCGAGCGCCCTGATTTTTAAATAATATGCAGTTATTGTTATTAGAGAAAACTGTACTTATTTACGCACGTAAGAAGTTATACTTTTTTTGCATTACAATATCTAAATAACGCCAAAAAAAGCTTGAATATTTTGAGGTTTTTCAAACATTATTGATGTTAAACATATTACTAAAAAGAAATTAATCGACTGTACAGCGTGTCTTTACCACCGCGACAATAAATGAACACACGTGTAACGCTACTTGTCAATAATCATAAAAAATATTAACTTTAAAAAAATCCATAATTAAAAAAATATTTTTCAAACAAACTAATTAAGTAAAAAAGAAACAAAATTTGTAACATCCTATACAACTACAGCTGACTGATTCATACATTCAGAGACTTTTTTATTCGTTGCCACAGCGCCGCATTACAAGCCTCTCCTTCTAACAGTATGTTTTGTCTCTTTAAAATTCATTCAACCCATTCATATGCTTTGTGACCTTTACAAATGAACTTAACATTACAGTTTTATACGTAAGGTGTTCTAAAATTCTTTGTTTTGGAAAATTTGATAACTCGGTAAATATTGATGTTTAAAGAATGTAAATCTTTAATACAATTTTAAAAAACTATCCTCTATAAGTGTGTTCATTTATTGTCGCGATTGTAAAGACACGCTGCATAAAATTCATGTTGTTTATTGGATGTCATAGATGTTCAAAAATGTTTCGAAATTCGTAGCGGAAAGCGGTTGCAACTTATTTTAATTAAAGAAATATGTCAAAATTAAATTTGAAATTAACTTAATTTTGTTAAAATGAAATTAACATAACCTTATTTTTTAACGAACGGCAGGCGGAGAATAGAGGTGGCGAGGAAATAAAGGATGAGATGGGTGAGAAGAGGGGAGAAGAAGGAGACAGTAAAGCTATTTGAAAGACAAAGCTTTTTGAAAAATAAGAAAAAAGCTTTTCACCGCTACAAAGATTTGAACATGCATCAAGAACATGCATCCTCTAAAGTTACAAAAATCTCAACGTATTTATCTGCTTTGCTTTTATTGCATTTAATTAATGCTTGGAGCCATCTAGTGTATTTGTAGCAAACAACCTCTTTCATATATGACATTACAATAGGATATTAAAAAACTAGATATGCCCCATTTGACTCGTCCATTTTTCTACAAATTTACAATTTCAAATCAAATGCAAAGATATGTATGTTTAAAAATTAATATCATTTAAATAAAAGCGATTGTTTAGTCGCAATAAAGAACTTGCCTTCCCGAAGGAGTAGGTGCGAGAGATCTCCGGCCTGATGCAAGCTCGGCCATGCGTGTTTTTTGGGTCGCGGAGCCATCAGAAGAATCAGCGTATTTATGCTTTGCTTTTATTGCATTTAATTAATGCTTGGAGCCATCTTAATTTGGTCAAATGGAATGTCAACTTGAGGATGGAGTTTTTTTCATGTTCTCTAATTGCTTCCGGTGTCATGAGCGGTTCAGCCAAAGTCTGTTTACTTTTGCTTGAAGACGTCCTGATAAAGGTCATGACCTGGTGCTAATTAACACCTCGCAGAAGTGAATTCCACACATGAAGTCGACTTATTATCCTTTCCCGTTTCGCCTTGTGAGAAACCCCCTCAATTAATTCCCTACTTACGCTTCGGGCCAGTTTGGTTCCAGCTGTTGCCACGTCTCCCTGCGCAGTACCCAGCCCAGTCCCGGAAAGAAGTCCGTCCTGTGCAGCAGTTCCGGCCTGGACAGGTCTATCACCTCCCTCTTGCCGTTGTCGTTCCACGCCGATATGCACCTAAGTACAATCGCCCAGCATCGTGAGCGGTGGCAACCGGGCACATTGCCCACGAAAACCCAGCGGGACTACTACTAGTTCGGGAATCAGGTAGATAATAATGGGACAGTGTTTTTGTCATTGGCGATATCATATGGACTGCCAACTGCCTCAGAAGAAGAACGGGACAGAGTCGCCAAAAGTAAGTTTTTTATCTCCCTTATCCTAACTAGGTGGGGTCCGCCCAGCAAGTGAGTCATGACATCAATGGTAGCCAGATTTTTTAAGACCGGCCCCCTATCTGACTTCAACGCCAACCCTTCTGGGGAACAAATAGCCATATCTGGAACAATCGTGTGTGCCAAATACTTGTCCCGTGTGGGAATCAAACCCACGACGGCAGAACCAAAGCCAATGGGTTACAAACGGCGCAAAACATTTTACTTACTCAGATTTTAGTATTTTGGAGATTGTCATTCTTGGCGGAATGAGATCGAAAAATACAATTCTACTTCATTGACTGTAATTAATATAATATCCGATTTAACGACAAATGTGACGATAGGTGTAGGCAGTTTCAAATGTGTAAGGCACCCAAAATTCAAATACAAATATCCAAGTTATTGTGCAGTCCATAGTTTAGAGGTATCGGGGGATGCTTTTTTTATGTGAAAAATTGCCAAGCGAGCAGGCGGTTCACCTGATGTTAAGTGAATACCGCCCATGGACATCTGCTACACCCGAGGGTTGCAGATGCGTTGGACAATCTTTTGAAAATTGGGCTCCGGCCACCTCACTCACCGGACGAAGCGCGAAAGTATTATACTTCCACTTCACGCCGGTCTTCTGTGAGGGCGTGGTACTTATCCGGACGAGCCTGCCCATTTCTGCAACAGCTGCGTGGCCCTACCACCGTTAAAAATTGTTCTAGTATTACAGTTGTATTATATCAAAGGGTTAATCATATAATGAACTGAAATAAAAGCGTTGTTGTGCCGACTGTCTAGTCGTTGAATGATGGAATTGGGAGAGAGGGCTCAATTCGAGTAATCGGTGTAAACTCTTAACCTAGAGGCCTTCTACCTTGCGCCTGTGCAGAGGTTTTTCAACTATAATTCATAATAAAGCATCCCACTTTATTTTTGGCAAACATTCTTTAAGTTTTGCATAAAAATGGAGGAGGTTTTTAAGTTTACTATAATAGTTATGAGTGGATTCAATTTAAACATATGTGTGAACGTTTGATATATTATTAAACGCAGAATTTTTACAACAGCGAAACAACTTACCATATGCTAGGATCCTTATGGAGCAACGGATATGTGCCCAGGAAATATTCGAAAAAGTCTGGTGATATGTCTAGGTCATCTGCAATTGATTATAATTAAATGGTGATGAAAAACTAGGGAACCTGTCATTTTAGATGTACTAAATGGATTATGTGAAAAATATGTAGTATATAAATATTAAAATTTGGAGTGTATATGTTCATTACAAAATTAATGCCGAAGTTTAACTAAAAAAATTACCGTTATTTGATAGTTATAATCACAAATGCTATTTTTAGAATTTTTGTCTTAAATACGCTCCGAAACGGCCCAACGGGTTTTATTGAAAATCATTTATTTTTCAGATTATTTTTATTTTTTTCAAACATAATGGACACCTTAAGAAATTCCCACCTTACCGTCTCAATACAATAGTAGGTTATTGTATTGAGACGGTAAGGTGGGAATTTCTTAAGGTGTCCATCTTGACGAGCACTAAAACTTTTCTCTGAACGTATAATTACTAAACCGCTTATCAATAGGGTGACCACTTTTAACGGGATAAACAAACAATGTTTGAATTGATATTTTTCTGTTTTTTTTCTTGTCAAATTAAAATATTAATATTTTTTTTGAATTATGGAATGTTCAATTAACTTTATGTCAAAGTATGTACTTCGGCTAAAAAATGAAACTGTATCGTAATAGATTTCTTTTTCCCTTACTGAAACCCTTTCACGGGGAAGAAGCCGTGGGTGTGAGCTATTGAAAAATAAACTTTGATAGCTTAGGTCACAAATCACTTATCTTTCAATCCTTTTCGATTCAGTGCCAAAATGGTTAATAAAAGAAGACTATCACAAAACCTGCTGTATTGTATTTGCTGTAAACTATTGCAGTTATGATTGCGAAAGCTACAGAATCTAAAATGGGTTACTATAGCATCGGATTCTTGGTGAATTTTACAAACTCTAATGATATAGCCACTGACCTTCGACGATTATAACGGCGTCGTGCCTCAGCGTGTTCAGTACGTGGTTCAAAGCGAACCGGTAGTGCCTTGCAATCTTGTAGTAGCCCCTGAACTTGACCTTGGCCCTGGGGAGCTGGATCTCCGAGAGATCAGGCTGCTGCACCAACATTATGGTGGGGTCGATCTCGGTGAAACTCTTTATGACGTGGAATGTAGCGTTGTGGGCGCAGTCCTACGACATCCGTCCATATGTAAAGCTAATGCTGATGTTATAAATAAATCTTCGATTCAGACGTTGCGTGAAGCAACCGATCAATTGGATCATTGACATATGATAATATTTTAAAATTTCTATTACGTAAAAACTTTGTTACAGGTTAACGTACTGGTAGTATTAAATAATCCACGAAAAGTACTAGAAGTATAACGAAGGTATTTGAATTATCTTTATACTAGCGAACCGCCTCTGCTTCGCACGGGTGAAATGTAGATATTGAATTTCTCGGCTTTTATCTACTTGCATGTATTCTATTTGTTAACCTTCAGCTTGAATCACTCTATCTATTGCTGAAAACTGCATTAAAATCCGTTATGTAGTTCTAGAAATAGAAATTAGAAAAGCTCTAAGCGTACAAACATCGGGAGCGACTTTGTTTTATACCATGTAAAGATGTGTGGAATGGCAATGGGAAGAAAATATTGCTGGAACTATGTTAAATCGTACTATTGCTACTATATTATGACGCTATATAATATAGTAGCTAGGTCGTTCTGCCTCACGCCAGTCATTCAAATGACAGCAATTCAGTAACAATTCACCATGAGACTCATGTCTTTTACGAGAATTTGCAAATGATTTCATTGTCACCGATGCCACGATACGTGAAGCAAAGGACTCATAACATAGAAAGAAAACTATACATGGATATTGTAGTTAGAATTGCATTACATATATAGCACATAGTATCCGGCTGTAGAAAACTTGACTTATTAACTTGGTTATGAACACAGATAAAACAAAAAATATGTTGGGACTTCATTGATGTAAACTTTAGCAATGAAAATATTGACTTTTATATTAAAACGATATCAAAATTATTTATTAAGTCTTGTTCGCTTTTCATATTCCAAAATTCAATTTGATAACCGATCGTACGCTTGTTTGTTTTGTTAATTTAATATTTATAGTTTGCCACGAATAAACTGCTATTGTTTGAAAAAATAAAACCTATGCCCTGAGATACTACATCCGGTGTCTGATTTAGACAACTGACCACAACACTCCTCACAACATTCCATTTATGTCTCACAAGCACCGGTTGTTGTTTTTGGTCTCGAAGTTCTTAATCTATCTGCAGATTTGGTTACTGGAGATAGAATTAGATAGATTTATTGACGAAAGTAGTATGGAGCTTATGTCAAATATCTATCGCTAGTAAATCAATCTATAGCTATCTGTATATAACATTGAAACCGGCCGTAAGACCAGACCACTATTCACTCTTGACCTGAAGTCAGGTTATAATGAGATTGAAATAATCGATGTAGCTCTTAGAACACTGCCTGAAGGTGTAGTGGCAATAGACTGACCACAATATGAATCAAAAGATAGGGGGATAATCGTCGGGGTGTACGCAGAATGCTTATGTGATCAGAGCATTGAGCATTACGGGCTGGTACATGATCAATTATTTATTAAAGAAATGTCTTACTGTTTAAATTGTTTTTTATTTTTCAATAAGAGTCTTATTGGGTTTTGTTCACAAACAAGGGAATTAATGTTAGTTAAGTTCCTATTCAAGTTTGATTGCAGCGATAGATTTAAAAGTTAGCAGTTTGTTATATAAAATGGCAGGTAAGCAAACTGTATATCCGCGTTAGAATTTACCTACATATTTTATTTTGAAAGTGGTATTCGTCATCTCAGTGTATAACTAGTCTGGCCATAAATACTGTTACATAATTTTTTTTTCAACATTTTTAATTATTATCTCGACCCGTACGGAATTTATTTGTTTATTTATTTGGGTCAAAATTAGAAATTGAAATTTAACCACCTTCCCGTTGTCAGATTGATCTGAAATTTGGTACACACATTTAATTTAGATGACAATACAATATTGTAGTTTTCAGTGCACATAAAATAAAACCGTTTAACTTAAAAGTTTTTAAACGGTTTTATTTTAAAAACTTATTTCGATTTTGCGTCATTTCACATATTTTTTCGTGTTCATTATCAAATTCCATTATGGAATGGGGTGTTAAAGAAAATAGAAATTGCCGTGATCGGCTTGCACAAAGTGGGTATGGAGCCGTCGATCATATTCCAGACACTTCAAAAGCTTGGTATCAGCCGTATGTCCGTATATCGTACTATCAACAGATACAGCAACACTTCGTCTGTCGAAGACCAGAAAAGATCGGGGCTGCTGCGTGTTGTTAGAACTGCAAATGCTGTCAATGTTGTTAACGCCAGAATTCGTCGAATTAGGAAGCAAAAAAATCTTATCGCGAGAAATGAAGATTCCCGCCAGGACTCTGTCGCGTATTATAAAACAAGACCTGAAGCTCGGTGCTTATCGCCGATATAAAGGACATGCCCCAAATCAATCTTTACAATTAAAGATCGATCAAAACACCTTCTGTCGCGATACACAGGTGAAAGGCACAGAAATATCTCTTAACCGATGAAAAAATTTTCACGATTGAAGAAAACTACGATAAGCAAAATTATAAAGAAGCTGCTCAAGTTGTCGGAACGGTACAACGTGGTCATCATCCTGCGTCAGTGATGGTTTGGTGGGGCGTGTCTTATCAAGGAGTCACAAAACTACATTTTTGTGAAAAAGGAGTGAAATTTCCGCCAAAGTGTATCAAGATACAGTATTGGATCATGTTGTGAAACCTCTCAGCATTACACTTTTTAAAAATATACCGTGGACGTTCCAACAGGACTCTGTACCTGCTCACAAAGTACGAACTACCCAAGTCTGGCTTGAAACCAACGTTCCGGACTTTATAAGAGTTGAAGACTAGCCCTCATCTAGCCCAGACCTCAACGCTTTAGACTTCAGAAAAATATGGTCAGTTTTAGAGGACATGGCCTGCTCTAAACGACACGGCGACATTGAGTCTCTTTAAAAATCTTTTTGAACAGTGCGTATATCCGTATATTCATGGCCAAACAGATTAAAGGCCTGTATAAAAGCAAAGGTGGCCATTTTGAATAGAATATCATTTTATTTTTTGCTGAGACGTTAATAAATATGTACGTATAAATTTTAATAATATTACTAGTAACAGAACTTATGGCTGGACTAGGTATACATATTCTTCTTTCGTAACTTTATGGCGTTTGACAAAACTGTTATGTGACAGTTGTCGCAATTGACAGAAGGTGCGCTGCAAATCTTTATATATATACTAGCTGACCCAGCAAATGTTGTTTTGCCATATAAATTATTTCTAGGGAATTTGTGAATCTGAACACATAGAAAAAGAATTTTCGGAACGCACCCATAAAATGTTTGACAGGTAGGAACAGTTTGTATGGGAAAACAAAATTTTCGCTATTTCGATTTTCCATGCAATTTTTTCATAATTTCTCATCATTTAAACCTTCCCTGGACTGCCACATGTATTTCAAAACCAAAATCGGTCCAGCCGTTCTCGAGTTTTAACGAGACTAACGAACAGCAATCCATTTTTATATATAAGAAGATACAGCGTGTCGTTACCATCGCGACAATAAATGAACACACGAATAACGCTACTTGCCAATAATCATAAAAAAATATTAACGTTAAACAAAATCCATAATTAAAAAAAATATTTTTTTTCAAACAAACCAATTAAGTAAAAAAGAAACAAAACTTGTAACATCCTATACAACTCGCGCCACAGCGTCGTATTACAAGCCTCTCCTTCTAACAGTATGTTTTGTCTCTTTTAAATTGATTTATTTATTTATTTATTTATACTTTATGCACAAGCTGTACAGAGGCGGACTTAATGCCACAGGCATTATCTCCCAGTCAACCTTGGGGTGGTACAGAGAAGATTCGGTAGGTGCACAGAAAGATGTCAAAAGAAATAAATAAAAAGAAAACACTGTTAAAATATAAACTGTTGTAAATGAAAGTATATACACATGTTAATTATAGTATATATATAATAAATACTACCAGGTGTATGTACATACATACTAATACATAAATATCTTTCTAAATATATGCATAAAATCATATATACATACATAAATAAATGTATACAGACAATTATAAATATATATATACATATACATAAATAAATTCTGACAATTAACGATGGAGTTGACCTGCCGACAAGTTTTTGAGGATGTGCTCACGTGCTTTTTTTTTTTAAATACAAAGCGACTTTTAGCCAACCTGATTTTGAGAGGTAGCTCATTCCACAGAAGGATAGACTGGATAAAGAAGGAAGAATGCATGAAATCAGAACGGTGAGGAGGACATACGAGAAGACGATTATGCGAGGAGCGAAGGTTTTTATTGCTAACGGCACATAGATATTGGAAATGATGGGATAAGTAAGTCGGAAAAGAAGAAGAGTTCAGGAAAGAGTATAGAGTAGTCAGTGCTCTTAGAGAGCGTCGTTGACGTATGGGTAGCCACTGAAGTTGAGCACGGTAAGTAGATACATGGTCATACTTGCGAAGATTGAAAACGAATCGAATGCAGTTATTCAGAAGTCGGTCGAGTTTATTGAGTTGATCTGCATTCAGGTCGAAGTAGCACACGTCACCATAGTCGATTAATGGGAAAATTAAGGCATGCACGAGCAATTCCTTCGTTTTAGCCGGCAAGAAATTTTTGAGCCGATATAGACACCGTAGGACCCCTGAGACTTTTTGACAGACGCTACCTACCTGAGCATTCCAGCTGAGCGTCATGTCAATGTGCAAGCCGAGATTTTTCACATTACGACTGATAGGTATGCGAGAACTGTTGAAAGTTATATGCGGGAGTTTACTCAGATCCACTTTACCTATGATACGGGAGCTCCCGACTACGGTGGCTTGACACTTGGCTGGATTCACGGTTAAACCAAACCTGTCTGACCACTTTTTAATAGCGGCTAAGTCCTGGTTTATAATATTGATTATTTCTGGGAGCCTATCAATGGTGGCCTGAGCGTACAGCTGCAGATCATCGGCGTAAAGGTGATACGCACATTGAAGTTCGAGAGTGATGA